TTGGTTTTAAAATTTTAGAAAATTCTGACTTTGTTTTTGCAACTACACAGCAAACACTTTTGAGAATAAAATAACTAATTTCACTAAGAATTAATTTTTTTCATAAAAAAGTACAAAATTGCAGTGTTTCGCAATTTATCGTTTGTACCTTGGCTTAATGGAAAAGTATGTATGTTTTTTAAAAAAGTTGCAAAAAGTTTTGGCTTGTATACGGCAATGTACAGTGTATAAATACAGTACAAAGCCGAAATCTGGAAATAAGCAAACCACCAGCAACCTTTTCTTTATGCATGTGCATTTGTTATTGTTTTCTCAGTAAAACGTGCGAAATCATTATTCTTTCATTTTGTTACTAAATAAAACACCTACATATTGAAAAAATAGTCATTTATTACATAAATCTGTATGATCAATAATAAGGCTCCATAGCTGTCTTTATGCTTACATCTTGAGCCAAAACATTCTACATTAAAACACTGTTTTATATCCCTGAAGCCTGCCTGATAAATCATTACTTTTTTTTTTTTTTGCTTTCATCACCAAATGAATATTAATACTTAGCAGCTTCATTATTATTCATGGAGCGATATCTTATTGAGTTTACACTAAGCAGTAATTACGAACTTCAGCTAACTGTGCTGCAAAGCGTTGAATGTGTCGATGAGAAGAATTTTCTTTCCGGATGCAAAATTAAATTTATTAAATGAAACTCCTAGGTCAAACAATTATATTTAGAACTGTTTGAACTGATGGTAACTGATCTGTTATTCAGATAAGCTTCTCAGATCTGTATTCAGAATTTAGAGGTGGAAAAATTTGTGGAATTCTGCAAGTGGCAAGCAGCAGATATAAGGGATATTAAAATCTTTGGAATTTAAGGAAAGCAATGGGACCCAAAATTTAGGGGTTGCAAAATTTTTGGAATTTTAGGAGGCTCTTAATTGCAGTAGTTAGGATGCGTAAGAGCTGCATTGTGCCACAAAATGGTTGGCGCTGTCCCTGCATTATCAACCTTAAGTATATGTGGAAATTTATACATTCGCGATTTGGATAGGCCTTAAGCATGTGCAGAGTATGCTTGAGTGTAATAATTGACTATTTTCATTCAGGCTAACTTCATCAGTGTACAATAGAAACAAAGTGAAATGTAGTGAAGCACATCTTAAGTTGCCGATTTCGCGATGGTGTGAATAGTCTAAAACATACACTAGCTAAACTTTTTAACGATAAATTTGAAAGTTTTCAGGTATTGCAAGGAAAAAGACGTAGTTTCTAATTAATGAATTAGTGGAGAAATAATAAATGAAGGTAATGTAGCAAGTTCTTTTATTTCAACAACAATGCCCCAATTGTCCGTCATCTTATGGACCGAAGATATGTAATGTGGATCTAAATCCAGAAAATATTGCTTCTGATAGTGCAGAAAATGGCAAAGAGGTTGTTGGGAATAAGACTGTAACTATTTTTACTGTAACTTTAAAAAAGCAAATGCAAGAAACCACATAATTTAATAAAAAGCAAAATTTTGAAGAATTAATATTGCGTATTGGGGTAAATAACATAAACTTTTTACATTTCCAAGTTCGCAGCTAGGTTAAGGCTTTATATGGTTTATTTTATTTTTCATTCATAAATAAATAAAAATATGCATTATATTTCACTTTTTTACATATATCTACTGTTGTGTATTAGAATTCCAAGACTTGATCATTTGGAAGGCTGAGGAAACATGTTTTGTCAGAGGCTTGGACCCACAAGATAATATAATGTGACAACCTTGTTAGAATGTAATATAAACAAAATCTGATACAAGTAAACTCTTAGTTTTGCAAAACACTGTAGCTAAATGTGCATCTTCTCATATGTGTAAAAAAGGAAAGTATGTTCTGTAATTCTGACCAAAAATGCATAACAAATTTAAGCTATGTGTCTAAATGTAAATAAAATTCAGAAAAGTAATAGTCAAAGATTTATACATTGGAGTCAAATAATAAATTCAAATTACCAAAATTTTGTTTACTCATAAATGTTGTGGAAATAACATATAAACAGACTTCAAATCAATCAGTATATAAAAATGTATTATTTACATATGTAGAGGTGACAATGAATGTTCTACATGTATGCTTCCATATTTAATTACTTAGTTATATAAATGTGGCTGTATTTGCATGGCATTTGTAGATGTTTTGCATGTTCTGCATGTATGCTTCCATGGGGTCATATTTGCATGGCATTTACATCTGCAATGAGAGACTGCAAGCTTTCAGAATTTTACTTGACTACATTATTTTTATATACAATACACTCTGTATATCTGATCAAGAGGATTCTGCAAGGCACGTTTCCTTAGTACTTATATGTTAACAGGGTGGATTGTCTAACTTTTTGAATAATTTAATTAGTTTTACAGATGGAAAGTGTTTTGCAGTTTCCTTTGTTTTTTTTTTTTTTTTTTTTTTTTCCACCCTGAGCTACGACTTTTTGCTGTCGTAATGAACTCTGCTAAGTATGACTACAAATGTGTCTTGCTGTACTCCTATGGTTCTTGTTCTGCCATTTTAAAGAATCCCTACCTGCTTGATATTTTGCATATGGATTTTGAAATGTACAGCTTCAAAAGTTAATTTGTAGTTCACTTTGAAATGCTGACAGCCAGCTTTTTGGAATTCTGTTATGTAGGTGGCCCAGGAGTCGAAATAAAATAGTTGTTCCTTCTTTGGTATTTTATTTGCTTGCATTTAATATAGCCATGGCTTTTTGGTCAGGGACTGCAACAAGAAAGATTTCTTAATTTTCTGACAATATTACAAATCCATTGAGGTGGCCAGAATAGAATATGGCCAGTGTTATTTTTTCTCTTCAAGAATAGGCTTCCATCAATTTACACATAGGTCTTCATCTTTTTATTTTGATGCCTCTGCATCTGGTAGACATATTTCTCTGGAATAGTTGTTCCAGTTTATAAGTCCATTTAAGTCCTTATATTTGAAAATGTAAAGACCCTTCTAGGTGCTTACTTTTTCTCTAAAGCACTTTTGTTTTTGTTTTTATTGCTTATTTTTTTGTTTTTAGTACTGTCTTTTTTTAACGAACACGCATATTTTCACTGTACCAGGGTAGAAACTAAATAAACAACTTTTCTTCCTTGTATGGAACGTCAGATGGTAAATCATACTTCCAGAAATAGCTTTTCGCCCCGTTTTCTGCATTAATGTAACCTTTGGTGCGCCCGAGTACAGACAGGTGTACGTTGTTCTATTGGCCAAAGAATTGCAAAAGCAGTAGAAAATTCCGGTACATTCCGTATTCTTTTCCTCCCACCCAAGACTGCAGATGTTTGAATTTCTATCAAGATTTTAATAATTTGCATTCTCGTTCCGCATGATCAGTTCGTATTCGCTTTATTATGATCGTTATGCTTATAATGTGAACATATGTATGAATATCTATGCATTATACAGTACATAAGTTGAGGAGTCCTCCTCTTTCTCTGCAAAACCTCGAATATTGAAACTGTTACAGTCTCAGCAAAGCAAGCAACGGACTTTTTTTGTCACTTTCCAATCTGGATTGAATGGGACTAAAATTTCTGTGGTCTACCAACCCAAGCGAAGAATGATTCTATTCCGGATATTTAACTCGCTCTTTTCAAAATTAGAATGAACAACACCATATATGTGCAAGTCTATTTCTTTTCCTTTATTTAGTTATTTTTTCTTTGAATACCGGCAGCTGTTGATTGTGATTGCATAATGTCACGTGCGGAAGAATTCAGGCACACATATTGTGCAATAATGTTTGCAATATTTTGCAGATATAAAAGAGTTTTACTATGTTTGCTAAGCATATTATTTTTTAGTTCCATTGGGCTATTTTAATATGATGCACATATTGGCACATCAAAAACATTAGCTGAAAAATCTAAACGACTATAAGTTATGCTCGACTATGTGGAATTTTTTTAATATTCCGCAATTTCCGAGTATGCCGGATAGTTAAGCTTTTGCTGTTAAAGGATGATTGCATGAAGCAGTTTCCCGTCTTCTGATTTCAGAAATGTTCCTTTTTTTATTTATTTTTAATTAAATTACTTTGCTTGCAATATCTGTTAAGGAAAAACTGTTTTACAATAAAAATTAGAAAATGTTCAAAAATTTTATTTAAGGTAAATTCGTTTAAATACTAATCTGAGTGGAAAAGTAAACTATATTTATTTTTGGTGTCGAGGGAATATAATAAATATGACTTATTATTATTTATTTTCTGTATTTTGAACTGAAATTTCATCATTAAATCTTGTGAGAATTTAGTTCTGCATAGTTTATTTCCTCTCATGTAAACTAGTTCTGTAAATTGAACTGTTATTTAAAATTTAAAAAAAAAAAAATTGTTTTCCATGGTTGTGTAATGCTCATTCTCTCTTAATAAATACTATACTTGTTGGTAGTTGTTTGGTAGATCTTACAGATGCGTGGTTGAGCTAAAAACTTGGTTCTTTAAGCAGTAATCTCATACAGATGCAGTAGCAATTTAATTTGTGTTATGGTGCCAAAATTGCAAATTTTTGCTCATTTTTTGTGAATTTTGGACTTTGTGTTAGCACACAAGCATCGATTCTTCTTTATGAGTATTATACTTCTCTCTATTTATAAAGTTCCTTGGAAGAACTATCAGATTTATGCAAATTGATTTGATTAAATGAAAGTTCTGAGAGGGTTTTTAAAGTTGCTTTTATCTTCTTTACTCTATCACCTTTGTATTGCATTTAGGTTGGTGTTGCAGGTTTGCAAGACGTAAATTTTAGTCTTAAGTAGCTATAATAAATGTTTTGTTATATATATGTATTTTGATGGAAAAAAATTTGTTTCTCGTTGACATATATCTTCAATCTTCATGGAGGGATGAAATCCTTCTTTCTATCTATAAACATATACATTTTAGGTCTTTCGTTTTTGAGATTATTTTTAATCATGCTTTTTTCCCCCTTCTCTTTTCAGCCATCTGTACCACAAATGCCAGTTTCCAATCTTCCTGTAACACAAAGTACAGGACAGCAGAGTTCACCAGTTACAGTAAGTGTTACACCATCTGCTGTTGCAGCACCAGCACCAACTGCTGATCCTGAGAAAAGGAAACTTATTCAACAGCAACTTGTACTGCTTCTTCATGCTCACAAGTGTCAGAGGCGAGAGAATCAGTCAAATGGAGAAGTAAGACAGTGTTCGTTACCTCATTGTCGAACTATGAAGCACGTCTTAAGTCACATGACAACTTGTCAAGCTGGAAAATCGTGTGGTGTTCCACATTGCTCCTCTTCTCGTCAAATTATATCACACTGGAAAAACTGTACACGAAGTGACTGTCCTGTGTGTTTGCCTTTAAAGCAAGCGTCTGATCGCAGACAGCAGCAAGCTGGTCAGTTTTGTTTATTTGTACCCTTAAAGGGAGAATGTATTGAATGAATTTAATAATTATGATTAATTTTTATATGCAGTAAAATGTTGGTTAGTTTTTTAACTTTTTATTGCTTTGAAGAGGTTTATTAATTATCTCTATATAAGCTGCTTTTTAAATTTTGATCTACTACAAAAGTTTATTTTTCTGTGCCCATTTTAGCAGCTGCAGTTCAGACGAATCAATCAAGTCAGGGTCCTGCTCCAGCAGATATGCAAAGAGCATATGCTGCTCTAGGACTTCCTTTCAATGCTGGTAATGGTAGTGCAAATATAAATCCTGTGATACAGAGGAGTCAAACTGTTGGTGTTCCTCATGGTAATTAATATTATTTGAGAATAATTCTTTTGTGTCTCAACTGGTATTGACTTAAATTTATATTTATATAATTATTTCATATGTTCTTTAAAGGCAAGTGTATATATATATATGTTTAAATGTTTGATAATAGAAAGCATTTTTGCTTCAACTTTTTAGAATGTTTAAATAGTTGTACATCCTGATAATAAATGATAAATCTTTCTTATCTCCTGCAAAATGTTAGGCTTTGTGATTAGTAATTAATTACTTTTAGAGTATCATCACGTATAGAGTTTCAAAAATTCTTGCTTGCTAGCACATTTTGCTTTCTTTCTATTTGCCAATAGCTAAATCCGAAGACTATTGTACTGAATAATCTGCATATAAATCTGTTCTATTTGAAAGACAGAATATGTTATTATGCTTTATTTAAGGATTATATATTTATTTAATATATTGTATTTTTTATTATGCCTTATTGTGAGGGAAATAAAACTTTTTGTTTTGTTCCAAGGACTGGTGATTCTGTGTAATAATTAATGAAATCAAGATTGGCATACATAGCTGAAGCAGCTTTGAAATTTTTCATTTTTTCCAGAAGCTACAACTATCTTAATGAAGTCCAATAAACACAGATAACCAAGATGTTCCTTAATTAAAAAAAAAAACTGGTCTTATAATCAGTAACAAACATTATTTCTAAACGATCTACTTAATGTCCTTAAAAATGCTTAATTTAGTCCTGTTATTATTTCATTGTTAGTGAATAATAATTATATTTTCCAAGATTTTACATGTTTATATTCTATAATCAAAATTTATCTATAATCAAAAGTTAAGCAAAAAATAGCTTCTTTTTACTATTATGTATTCCGTGCGCTTAAAGTTTGTTCCTCTGAATCTTGCTTATCAATGAACTTAATTGTTGCGAGCAGTTGCGATTGACGTGGATTTCTCCCGTGATTATTGATAAAGCCGTTAAAAAATTTTCAGTTCCATCAAGAACATCCACTGTTAGAAATAATATTAATTACCTTGTCGTGCTTCCATTTTATCCTAGCTATAAAATTGCACGGATTCTCCAGAAATTGAATTTTCAAGTCGGTTTTCTCCCCTATTAATAAAATTCGCCCTTCGATTATAAAAGATTGCGTTTCTGTCTTGAAATCTTGGGGAATTTATAGTATATCGTGTCAGTGTGGTTTAAGATATATTGGCCAAACAAAAAGAGCGTTGAAGTTTCGTATCAAAGAACATGAATCTTATGTCAGAAAAGGCGAAATCAACAAGTCTTCAATAGTGTATCATAGGTGGACATTTAACCATAATTTTGACTTTGGGTCTGCAAAAATTATCCAAAAGCCTTCTTCCATAGGTGAATTGGATTTTCTTGAGGCGTTTCATATTCACAAAGATTTAGCATGTTTAGTTAATGATTTTAAGTCCAATCCTGTCCTTCCTAATGCCTTCAAAATTCTGCTATCTTAATTCAGTTACATATTTTTGCCGATATATGGCGTTACCTCCTCGCGTTTGGTACTACCAGAGGGTATAAAAATCTGTTCAGTTGGTTGCTTTCCATTTTTCGAAGTTCAGATTTTGAGTGTGAAGGTGCAGTTGCCCCTCGCTCCCTATTTTTAACTTCGCTAATTTTCTTGTCCTTTGTGTTACATGTTTGATCAGATAGCCTGGCTAAGTAAAAGTAGGCGGCCAGTGTAACTCTGATTAAAAATCCGGTTATAACCACGTGCAGTGCTGATAAGGACGTGTTTCTGAGACTCCTTCCCCCTTTATTTTATTTTTCTTCTTTCTAGGTATTTCTTTCTCCTGGTGAGGAGGGACCTTTAGCTGCCCTTGAAATCGAATGAGTGTTTCAATATACTTACGCTAAATACAAGGTTGTTTTTACGATTTTGATTGTCACATTAGCCTGTTTTTCTTCAAGTTCTAGTCTATAATCAAAATATCTGAGTGTTAAGCTTTCTGTTATCTTTTGTTTCTTTTTTTTCTTTTTTTTTTTTTTTCTTTTTTTTTTTCTGTTATCCGAATGCATTAAAAATATCTTTGTGGTTCAAAATATTTATATAATATTGTGGTACAGAGATGAATTGTGCAGTTGCTATTGAAGCTGGGAATGCTTTCAAAGTTAATGTGCAAAAGTATATGTAAAGATGCCAGTAAAGTGAATACAATGAATCCTTATGTCAGCATTCTCCCATAGAGTAATTCCTAAAAGTGATCAGTATTTCTAAAAACATTAACTAACATAATTATGATGATAGTTAATGATTATATTTTCTATAGCTAGCATTTTTAACACGTGATCGTAAAATATGTTCATTAAGATGACTGCAGAAATATTTGATTTCAGTATCATCTTCAAATGCTATATATTACTTCCAACCTGAGTGTGATATAATGTATCAAATCGACTTTCTTGTAACACTGTTTGTAAATGAGTTGTTGGATTCCTAAACTAACATTAGTTCTTTTAATCTCTGTTTATGTAGTTGATAATGTGTAATGAAGGAATATTACGGGAACACAATTTCTGCATTGATTGCAAAAATGATAGCTAAGTACATCTGAAAAATTTCTAAATATACCTATAGAAAATTGAGAGCAATTGTAACAGTTCCTAAGTAAAATGAAGAATATTTATTACAACTGAATTTATTAGATTTTTAATGACATAGGCTGGTGAAAGTATAGTGTGCTTAACAAATTATGCAAATATTAATTAAATTGGTCTTTCCTTGCATCGTATAAGGAAATTGAACACTGTCAATATATTCATGATAAATTCCAACAAAATTATTTGTATTTGATAAAAGCTGAAAATATTGAATTTTTAAGTTTTCATTATGAACTTGTCGAGAATATCATCTATTTCTGGGCATTTCCTGTACTAATGTGTCTCAGGGACTACATTAATGTTTAGAAGACTGATGGGCAATTATATGCCAAAGTTGAAGACGGCTCTCGCTAAAATTTCAACCAGAGAAATGCTCCGCTACCATTCAGGGTGCGGAGATAGTCATTTCACAACTATAGTGAGGTTTATAGTATATATATGAGGTTTCGTAAATTCTTTTTCATTTTCCCTCAACAGGTGAGCTCAAATGAAGTGTGCGTGCATGCAACACAAACGCAAATGTGTAACATGTATGTATTCTGATTATGTATGTGTATGCAAACAGTTAATGTGCATATTATATGCACATGTACATATGTAAATACCATGTTTATATGTATATAGTTCTATCCATATATCTGTGTGTATGTATATAGATGTAGATTGAAATATTGTATTAATTTATATTTTTCCGTATTCAGTTTAGAAGTTTTATTCAAAAATATGAAAGAGATGAAAGTCCAGTTATTGATAATTTTATGGAAATTCCCCTTATAAAGGCATGACTTTCTATGAGATCAGTAAAAACAATTACTCTTGTATTTTTGCAAATGCAGTTTGTGGAAAATGTCTTAAATGAATTTGATACATTTTCCACAGTTTGCTTTCTACAGCTTTACATCATTAACTAAGATTTAAAAGGTCTCATTAAATAAGTATTTACTCTTTGCTTGCTTTGAGACAATCAAAATGAATACTTATAATTAAAATATAGAAACATGCATCCGTTTGCTTCATCTTCTTTCTTACAAGAAATTTTACCCATATTTATAAGTCAACTGAATGTCACCTAATGCCATATCAGTAAAGACGATAAACACTGGTGGTTCTTAAAGATTCTATTCTCTTCTGCAGCTAAATAAAGCTTCTGTTTTTTTAATTCACATACACATGTATAGCAAACATAAAGGCCAGTTTCGCCCATATAGTTCTTAAAATAGTCCCATCAGCAGTCGAGTGATAAAAGCCGCTGAAAACTACTAGTTCAGTCCAGGGTTTAACACACGTCAAGTGAGCTGTTTGCACAAGCATTTTTTTAGGTTTTTCGCGTATGTAATGTGGATACAAGCTAGTTCTTAAAACGTCATGAAGCATCCCTCCCTTTCCCTGTAGTGCCTAATGGCTGAGCACCTAATAAATAAATATAGTCTGTAATTATGTTATTTTTCCATAGAGGCAGACAACACTAGCATGATTTTGCAAATCATACAATCTAATTCACCTATACTAATAATATCTATAATATCTAACTTATTTCACATTTTACGAGACTGAATTATTTTTCGGCAAGAGGCTTTTTTATGAGAATGAAATTGTTATGAGATGCTGTTTTAATAACATTTGTAATCTCAGTATTCTTCACTTTCTTGTACATAATGGGAATACAAGCTAAATTCCTGCCATAATTAGCTGTATAGCTGCATCTATATTTTGACAAGCTAATTATTTGTTTATAACAATTCCAGTCTTTATACGCATATATAAATAGAAGTCTAAATATTTAGATTATGACGGCACAACAGCCTGCCCAAGGGAGAAGTGGCTACCTGGAGGAATTTGGATTAGTTGGTATTCATATTATACATGACGCCACATGCTACCAGCTAGTTCACCAAAGTGTGAACCGAACCTAGCTATCAGTGTGCATCGATTTTACCACTCAACCTCTGGAGGGTCTATATATGAATAAAGCCAGTAAATACACTTGAAATTTTATTAATTTTAATTTCACAGATTTTTCCCTTTTCTGTTGTAATTTTTGTATTTAATATTGCTGTCTCAAACTGTGAAATGATACTATGAAAATATGATCTGAAAATATATTTAGTGAAATCTTTATTTATAGCAAAGAAAAATATTAAAAAAAGACCCGCTAAAGGGGGGGAAAGCTTTTATCGCAGAAATGCGACAAAGAACAATGATGCGGTTGAAATGATTGCTATACGGTGGGGAGGGAATCAATAAATTTTTAAAAAATTAAATATAACTACTAATGAAAAGGCAAACAAAGCAAATGTCACAAAAATACAAGGGGATTTGTTTATAAATATAAGCTGTTACACCATGTTTGTAACAATGAATGTGAATTGCTGGTTTATGTGAGAAACAAATAAAACATCATTTTCAAGTATAAATAACTGTTTCAAGTATAAATAACTGTTTAACTGATGTAGTTCTAAAATCAATTTGAAAACAACAAACAAAAAAAAACTGATTAGACTATAGATGTACCTAGGAGGTATTTGCTGCTAAGGCATATTTTCGTTATATTGCGGTGTTAAAGGTTAATATAGCCATTTGACAATTGCTGCAAAATCTCATTATCATATGTTTCTCTAGTGCAGGAAAAGAAACAGCAGAAAGGAGAAAAATTTTCTTTGTGTTGTTTCCAAGTCTCTTATCTGAAAATGAACAAAGGCAACCCCTAAAGAAAAGGTTTCAGAAATTGTAGTAGTTTCCCTTTGCAGTGGCAGCTAAAAGGGGGTGGGAAAGCATTTGTATTACCTGTCGTTTTTCCAAACTCCCCAGTCATTTAAAGGTTAACAGTGGTAGCATTTGTCCCTTCTACTTGAAGATGGAAAGTAGTGTAAAAGTCTTTTTTCCAGTTCCTGAGGGTTAGATAAAATTTGAAATTCCTTGTTGATATATGAGGGAAAAGTGGATAAAATTTTAGAGAAATGAATGATTAGATTCTGACATTGAATTGCGATAGTTTTATACATCATATATGTGCTAAGAGTTTTGAGAGTACAGGCTTGGTTAGCATTTGAATTCCTCTCTGCAATACTTTATGCTTGCCACTCATTTATGCAACACTCATACAAAAGTAAAGCAGAATTACTAACACTGCTGTTTACCTAGAGTAGATGAGAAGCAGGTGTAAAGGAGGTTAATTAAAATTTATTTTACATGCAACAATCATGTTTCGAGTGTAAAAATTCATGCAGCATAGATCTCCTTCACTTTGATAGCTGCACATTTGCTTTAATAATTCGTTATTTATATTTAGGTGTCGTAAGCAAGCACTGGTTTGACACAGATTTAACCCTCTTATAGACATCAACTTTTAGATCTGCTCATGAAGAACTGTATTGAAACATCTGTTAGCTACATTTGCATTATTACATATTTTATATTTGTAAATTTATTTTCGAATGTTATATATGTTATTAACGTAAAAGTAAAATAATTTTAATTATAAGGTAGTATATTTCAAGTAACAAGATATTGCATGTGTGGATAAAAGGGATCATAAGTGCTAGAGGTTTAAAAAGGTAAATGGTGTAGTATGATGTGTATATGGCTACTTTTATCTGATAGAAAGAATGTGGTGCAGAAGGAATTCAAATTAAAGTAGTCCGTTTTTATGAATACATAACATAATCATTGATTTAAAAAACTGAAATATGGTAAATGATTCTGGTGTGGAGAACTAAAGTGGTGTTTTAAATTCAAAGAAACATGTTAAAATTACTTATTATGATTTTTCATTTTGTGTGCTTTCATATCTTGTCCAGAGAATCTGATTTTAAGTGGCAAGAAATATTGAGAAAGAATCTGTATTCAGATTCTGAAGATATGTGCCAAGGGGTTCATTAAAGTTCTAAAAAACCTGATGATTTTTCCCCCCCCTGCATTCTATTCTTCAGTGTTTCAGTTTAGGTTTCCTCATTATCTGAATATCCATTATATAGTAGTAGCATCGGTAATGAGAGTATCTCAGAAATTTGTAAGCCATTAAAAATTCCTCTATGGAAACTTTCTTCAGATGGGCCCAGTCCTAGGGTTCTTTGCTATAATTAAAATAATTGTAATCTTTTTTATTTACTTATTTCTGGTACGGTGGTAATAATAATAAATGTTCTTTAAAGAATGTTCATAAATAGTTTGCAGATAGTGGGTTTAGTTTAAGCAGCAGTAGACATCTGATGTATTTTTAGTGTAAAGTCCTTTGGGAAATGTCAGCTGGTACATACCAGTATCAGAATGTGCAGTTGGTCCATGGAGTACAAAACTCCATTACTTTTCATCCTTCAATCTTCATAACTAATATATTTTTGTATTTATCATGCTGTATAAAAATGTCAAATTTGCATGAAATAGTTAAAACAGATTTTGGTATACTGTTAAAAAGACAAATCATGTAATTTTCAGTAAATTAAAGTCTTGTTATATATTTCTTCTTAATTTTGCTGTTGTCAAATTTTATACTTATCGGGAGTATCTTGAGAACCTAATGAAATGGTTATGTAAGCGTCAGAGCAGGATGTGAATAGCACAAAGATGAAGACCAAGACTGTTAATTTCATTTTGACCAGTGGATGTAGTCCAAGATAATGTGTAGCACAAAAGATTTTTCTTCCTCCCCAAAGGTATTGTCTACTTAGGCATGCAGGAGCCTGCATCAGATGTCTCATTCACAACTAACTGTAATGTAAATTGCAATTAAGAAGCTCATTACTTAAATTTACTCTGATGTAACAGATTTGCATAACAAATTAGAATTAGCAATTTATTGTCATGAAAACCAGTGAGAAAAATATTCAACTGATAAAAAACTATCATAATTAGTTTCATTAAAATACTGCATTGTTTTGAATGCCATGTCCTTTGTTACTGTCATTGAATTATCTCTCTCTCTCTCTCTCTCTCTTTTTTTTTTTTTTTTTTTTGTACTTTGTATTTTTTCTTTTAGCTTTTAAGATAGTGTAAAAATTGAGGCTACAAAATTTTTTCAATGTTCCGATTTTTGATGACTAATAGCAAAAGATATATTTATTTACATAGTGTTATGTGAAAAATAATGTAAGTTAAATGGTTATCATGTTTTATTTCTTAATTAGCTTTCTTCCATAGTGTTTATACCTAGGCAATCACAAAATTTTGTCTCAAAGCAGATTTTTCAAATTATGTATGTGGTCTAAAGTTTTCTTCCCTTTTCCTTTTAGTGAATGATCAAGCTCCCCAGTGTTCTCCACAAAACATCCAAACACCACAGCCAGCACAAGCTCAACAGTCTCAAGTTCAGCTGAGGCCATTGTTACAAAATTGTGGCTCAGGAGCCATTGCGAATCAGTCAGCTCAAAATTTTCTTCTGTCGGATAACCTGCAGTCAAAAGTTAAAACTGCCAATGTGACATTATTAAATGCACCACCAAATCAAGTTGCTCCTGTTGTACAAGGTGTGATCCCTGATAATCCAGCTACAACAAAAGACTGGCATCAGTCTGTTACTCAGGATTTAAGACACCATTTAGTTCAAAAAATGTAAATTCCTTTTATAACTTCTCTTTAGTTGTATTTATGTGCATGCATGTAGATATGAATATTTTATTGTGTGTGGATAGGTGAGATCTTATCATCTTTGTTTTTACAGGAGTAGAATGTGCATAAATACGGATAAGAGAACTTCATTTTTAAAAATCTACATTCATGTTCAGTATTTATATATAATTTCATTCTTGTTCTTATTAATTTGAGAATTCATCTTCGTGTGTGCACTAATTGCTTCATTACTAATTAAATGTATAGCAATGAATGAGCAGCATATGACTTGAGCAAGAATTCTATTTTGATAGCTAGCTTGCCTGAACTAACCGGTCAGTGCTTCCTTGAGGCTTCCACTCATGAACCTGATCATGCAATCCACAAGCATCTCCAGCCCTCTTTTTTCATCTTTTGACAAATGTCTGTTAAATTTGTACCTCTATATCTAAACATTAAATAACTGCTCATTTCTCTTTTTGTGGGGCCATTATTTTCTCCTGTTTGCTGATGACACATTTCCCATTAGGATTTTATATTCATGCAAACTTATGTTATCTAGAGATGGAAAACATAATTATGTGTGTGTGTTGTGTTCACTCATATACATTCAACACAGGCAGATAATTGTCCCTTTTTCAGGTTGCCAAATTGTGCATCTTGGTGTTAAATAGAAATATGATTCATATTTTGTTTTATCAGTTGGTGTCAGATTTTTTTTGCAGCTGCACAGACAAAATCCTTGAAATAACTCTTTAAGAAGCAGAAATTGTTGCCAAGATTTGCCTCATTTAATCCCGGGGTATGTATGCCATAGGGAATCCATCTCCACATAAAGTTGCTTTTTGATTCTTATTTTTCATTTAGAATGCATGGACAATGTTTCTGCATAGTTATAGAATTGAAGTCTTACGCATTTACTGGTGGTAAAGGTTAAAGTTCTATTTAAAGATTTTTCTTTCATGTCACATTCTCAGTTTTTACACATATTCACTGTCTGAATGCAGGTCAGGAAGAACATAATCAGTTTTGAAAAGGGTTGAGCATTTCTTGAACATGTCTAGTGTCTGTGATTATGGTAAAGAAGAGTCAGAAGCATATGTGTCTTTCCTGTTAAGTGAATCAAGAAACCTGGTATGGTTGTACAAATGTTTGTGTCAATAAGAGTGAGTTTGGAAGCAACATGCTTTATTACCTGCTTGACAGATTTAGTCTTTCTTTGCTGCTGTTGATTCTGAATGAGACAAATTTAGCACAGAGTAACTATCTGTAATATGATACTATATAGTGCTGAGTAAATTAAGTGTGTTTATTAAAATTTTTAATTTAACGTAAATAGAATTTACATGAAATTAATATATTAAATCAGGGTTGCCACGCTACTGGGAAAACTGAAAAAAAGTCAGGGAATTCAAAAATTGACCAGAAAGTCGGGGAATTTCATACGGCGATCTCCCAAAAAAGCTGGTTTTGCACCGACGTTGGAAGTGATTACTTTCTTGGTGAATGGTGTATTGCGTCTGCATCATTCAGGCAGCTGGCACAGAGCCAATTTTCGCGGCTCCAATTATTAGATTGTTTTTTAGAACCTCCGAAAGTCGCATGCACATATGCAGTGCATGTTGAACTAAACAAAATACCTATTTTCATTTAAAACAAAAATGGTTTAATTCTAGTGTATGGTGCCATTGAGGTTAGAATCAAAGAATATGTATTATTAAGAAGGAAAACTTCTCTGCGACAGGAGTGGCTCCATTCCATTGTAAATAAATGGAAACAGACAAGGAACGTGCATGTGTGAAATATCTGTTGTTAAAGCTTGAAGCCGGTGTCTAAGTTCGCAGATCACGTTAGCAAGAGTTTATAAAATGAATATCGTTTAAAATTTTAAAGGAAAAGAAAATGTTTTCACAGAGTTGCCAACTCTCCCGATGTAGGCAGGAGACTCCCGATTTTCGGCAGCTCTCCCACCAACCCGATTTGCAATATATTTCTCCCGACTTTTTCTTTTTCTTAAAATTTCTCACGATTTTTATGGAACTTGGCTTAATACTTCGTTATAAAAAATTTTAAAAAAAAGTGATTTTGGACATCTGAAAGCAATTGAATTTTCTCTAGATTATATCTAGAACAAAACCTTGTGAATCAGATGAGAACTTCTGCTTTGTGAGTGAAAGCATATACATATCCAGAAATGTCGTTGTCCAGTTCTCCAATGGGCATCGAGCTCCACTGCGTGTCATCTGGTATATATTAGCCAATGAGCACAAAGAAAGCGTAAGGCTGTTATTTGGATGTTCTTTAGTTATTTCATTCATCTTGTCCTGAGTTGTGTGAGTACACGTGCCTTTGGGAAATAGTTTTAGAAATTATCATCTTTCTTTATGTCTCCAAGAAAGGGGAAATACTCGTGTACGTTTCAAAAATCATACACATTTGACTTTCCTTCCATTACTTCCTCAAGGAAATGTAATAAATTTGCGGTGTGTACCGTCTGTCATTGCGATTTTTCGATTTCGCATGGTGGAAAGGCGGATGTTCTCAAACATGTGTGTACACAAAAACACAAGGACAACATAAATTGTTTTGAAAAAAGCAAAAAATGTTTCTTCAGAAACAAAGGACCAAAAAGTTATTAATGCACAATGTCTGTTCTCTGCTTTTTTACTGGAGCACAACCTGCCACTGAATGCATCGGATCACGCTGCAGCTGTATTTAGAAAAATGTTTCCCGGTAGTGAAATCTCTAAGAAGTACTTAAGTGCAAGGACCAAAACAGGTGCAATTCTTAAAAAAAAGGGTTTTAAAAATAAATCTTCAGTTACTGATTGCATTAAAACAGCTTTGTTCTGCCACTCTACGGATGGAAGCAATGATACCAATTCAAAACTGTATCCAATTGTTGTTTCTTTTTAGTGCAGTTTACTTTCTGTCCCCACTTTAGGACATTTGACAGGCTTTAATATAGCACAGCTAATTATTAAAACTTTAAAAGAAAATGCAGTGCCTCTGGATAATTGCTTAGCACTTGGTGCCGATAATGCACCATAATGGTAGGCTTGAAGATTGGTGTTGGAGGCATCTTAAGAAAGGAAAATTCAGATTTGCAGATTATAAGGTGCACCTGTCACCTCTTAAATTAAGCTGCTGAAAAAACGGTAGCTTCTTTACCAATAAATGTGAATAAACACATTGTTGATATTTATTATTATCTTGAAAGGAGTTCCAAAAGGAAGGGAAATTGAAACAGTTCCAACAGCTGCATAATACTGAAATGAGAAAAATTTTGAAACGTGTGTACACGCTGGCTGTCTTTAAAGAAATGCTTATCTAGAATCCTCGATCAATGGAACTTGCTTCTTGCATTTTTTAAAGAAGTAAATGCTTCAACAGTTAAGATAAAAGGCTCTATTAAAAGTTATAAAATACCTAAAGTAAATGGAGATGTAGTTACTACTTCCATTGTTAAAAATAGGTTTGAGAAAAATAAAGTAATTTCTGCACAATTCACCAATTCAACTGGCAGTTCTCAAAATAATACCGCAAAATAAAAGCGTAAAGCTGATACAAATTTCTCTCAAAGTAAAAAAAAAAATTGCTCTACACACAAAACATTTTCTCGATTACTGTATGTTTATCTTGTGAAGAACGAATATTTATGTTTTTTTCTTCGGACCTTAACAAAGCTTTTTGCTTTTTTTACAATTCATTTGATGTTCTTAACACAATTCTACAAAGCAGAATTCCATTAATTCATGTTTTGCAATCAATGATTTATGATCTGTTTAAAGACATTTTATCAAAGTTTGTAAAACCAGTTCGTGTTTTGTCTTGTAATTCTATATATGATGTGATTTATGGTGAAATAGAAAATCAGAAGAAAGATGAAGATTTGGTAATAGGAGCTGCAACTACAAAAGTAGAAGAACTTTCAGAAGAAGACAAAAATAAGTTTTATCTTTATGTTAAAAGTTACTTCTGTTGAGTATGTGATTACATACTATATAAATTTTCACTCAACGATGTAATTTTGCATGCTAAAGTTCCTGATGTTTCTGCTTTAGCAAATGCATCTTTTTCTGATATAAGGAACTTTTTGTACAGATTTCCTTTGTTACTTCATTTAGTCATGAAAGATGATGATATTGATGTTGCCACTGATAATCTTGCAGTCGCAATTTTGTAGTTTACATTTAGAAAACTGGATGAAGTTATAAATCAGCTAGGATTGACACCCATTGGAGTTCAGTTGGAAAACTGAAAGGTGATGATGGAATTTTAAAATATATTGAACTGTCTAGAATTATGTTGGACATCTTGACAGTTCTTCATAGTAATGCAGAATGTGAGAGGATTTTCAGTGCTATTGTGAAAATGAAGACTAAATTTAGATCTAATATTAGTGATCACACATCAGAAAAACTTTTATTAGTTAAAGCAGGCCTATGTGGCAATTGCTATGAACAAAATTATGAAGTTTCTTTCTTAACAAAAGCAAAATCTGCCACTTTTTATAATATTTGTACGAAAGCTGATTAAAGTGTGTTCCCCCACCCCCTTAAACGTTGCAAGTAATAAAAATGTTTTTTATGTGTAAGGTATTTTTGTGTTGCTTGCATTTAAGAATTAGTAACTATTTAAAGTTAATTCATAATTAAAAACTACATTTTTATCAGTTAGAAAGTCTTTTTAACATAGTGAAAAATCTCCTGATTTTTGAGTGTCATAGGTTGGCAAGTATGATATCATTTAATGTTGTTTCTTCCCTCTAAATTTATTTATTATTATTAAATAATACTTTAAGTTATAGGAAATTTTCTCTGGCAAAATCCTGAAATTAATTCTAGTAGTATGAATTCTAGTAGACGAAATTTAATTAACATATTTTTGCTTATGTATGCTGCTAAATAAATATAAAATAAAAGTATTTATGAAACAAATATAAAAATTTATAAAAGTCATGTGTAATTGGCAAATTTTTGTGTTTTCAAGTAATACCATAATTAAGTAACCTTTTAGCACAGCAAGCGTGCATTATGCGGCTAAACTGGAATTTTCTTAAAATACACCTGGAAAAGTTAGCAGATTTCATTCTCCTGTTTGAGTGGCAACCCTGTTAAATAAAAATATATGCCTTTTGAAAGCTTTTTTAATATAGGACTAAAGAAAAGCTTTTCATTAGATTTTCCTTAGTATACAATGCCATGTGTGTGTACCTATTCTATGACTGGTAAAGCCTGGAGGGAATAAATAGTAATGAAAGAAGAAAAGCACAGTTCTCTATTGAAATAAATTTTTTTATTGTCTGCTGTTTATAATATGTATCTATATGTAATGATGAGTTTTGCACAATATATACCATCAATTCTCACACCTATGATTTTAAACTACATTTTACAAGTTTTTAGTTTGTTCACCATGAAATGTGCACTATTTTCTTCGCAAAGAAACCTGTAAAATGCATGTGCAGTGCTCTTATGTTTTGAAGTCATTTATTCAGATTTTCCCCAGATTTTATAACAGTGCTATACTGAATTGACAAAACAATGTAACAGTATGTCTATAGGGGAAATAATTCTGTGAAGAGGGATGCATTTATTCAATGCAAGTGTGTGCAAGAATGTTATTCTAGTGTTTCATGAAAAAGGGCATTATTTTAGGTGAGAATGAGGAATAAGTTCACAATATGAGTTGTTGGATGCTTTCTGTTTCTGTAGTCATTTGTAGCTGTGATTTTGAATTGAACATGGCAAAGAAATAAAAGTAGGCCAAATGCATCATTCCACTCTAGAAATAGTATGTGAATTGATAATAAAAACATGGAACAAATTAAACCCAATATAATTCAAAATCATTAAAAAATGTATCTAGATGTAATACAAGATGATTATTTTAATGAAGCAGAAAAGTAATGTGGTGAAGACAAAACAAAATTCAATGATGATACAATGAAAGATGAATATGTTTAACTTTTCATGTTTTCATATAAGGAAATTTTAAGTTCATAAGGAATGTAATTTTATTTTAAATAAATAGCAATTAGTTTGTCTAGAAATAATTTTTGTATGCTCATCTTTTAATCATTTTTATATCTGACATATGGTGCATATCCATTTATTTTGATCTTATATTTTGTATTAAAATTGTGCATTAATTGCCAGAGTGTGGTATTTATTTATAGCAAAATTTTAATTCTTTTGATATTTTATAAACATCTGAATTGCAGTTGCCTAGAGATAAGGCATTATGGTAATGGTTTACAGTCATGTCTTGAAGGCCAGATTCTGTGTGTGAGGTAGATTCTAATATTAAGGTGAGAATATTCACAGAATTATTCTGAAATAATCAGACTCAAAAAATGATTCATAATCAGAAAGTAGAAATATATCTGTTGCCAGAAAAGCATTGCCATATTTTGAGTGTTACAAAACTGTGTTACATTTTATTGTATTTACGTAACTAACCCACCATTTATCACCCATTTATTCAAAGTGTGAATTTTCCTGTGAAATTATAACTCAATACAAGGTTGTGCTTGAAGGTGGAACACATACAATAGTAATTGTAGTATATAGTATTTTCTACCAAAATCTTAAGATGATAGTTTCTGCATATACACCTGTAGGAGTTCCGAGTTTTGCACTTTGAAACACCTCCGTTAATGATAAAAGTTAGTTGGGATAATCAAATTGTGTGGCTTCTGAAAAAAATATTCTATATTCCATTGCACTTCGGTAATATGTAGAGTAGATTGGGGAAAGAAATGTTTTGGGTTATTAAGTTACTTGCAATTTATGCCTTCAGTTATGTTGAAAGTCAGTTTCATAAGACTTGAAATTTTCAAACAATTATTAATTCTGTCATTTAATTTTTCTACTTTATCCATTAGAATATTGTGTTGTAATTCCCAAATTCCAAGTGTTTGGAGTACAGCCTTTGGAAGCTGCCGCGTATACATTTTGTTTTACATATGTCTTTAGCTTGTAATGTGTGTGTATATATATATATACATATATGTTTTGTATATGTATAATTTATCCTTTTTTCTTTTTAATAGAGTTCAGGCTATCTTTCCTACAACTGATATATCTGCCTTGCAAGATAGAAGAATGATTAATCTAGTCGCTTATGCCCGGAAAGTTGAAGGTGATATGTATGAAGCAGCAAATAGCAGAGTAAGTGTTATGTTACTGCAACTTGTAAGTACGTAATACATACATTAATACTAATGCACAAATATGTAACGTTTGTCTTCGAAGTCTTGTTATAGTTTGGTAAAAAATGTAGCATTCTCAGACATTTTTTTGTGGTGTTTATATTAAGAAACATTAAGATGTTATAGTAGCAAAAAGAATAAGTAAATGTCCTTAATGTGTGTTTTATGAGTAATGTCTTGTGAAACTATTCATAGCAAATTTTAGTTTAAATTTGTAAAACCTGCTTCTACGACTCTTATATTGTATGTGTTTCATGTTGGTGATTCACCACATTCTTGCATTGTGGGATAGAAGATATTAATTAATACAGTACAAAGTCTGAAATACAGATGTCCAGTATTTAGAGCATGAGGTTTTTTTTTACAATATTTAGGAATGAAGAATACAATATTTCAGAAAGAGTTGGTGTGCCATAAGTGATTTTCCTCACCACCTACAGATTGCATGTTGCTTTCAAACTCCTGCTGCCCATTGAATCACATCACAATAGCCTATGAACATATTTTGACATTTAATTGCAACCACAGTTTCGGGCCTTGAATAATTGTGGAGCATGGAGGTAGGAGAGGGAGGAGGGGGCAATCCGCGCTAGAAGTGAAGCACAGCATTGAAGCTTGGGTCACCAGACGGGGTGTTCTTTGTTTACATTCAGAAGCTCGCTTGACAAGATTCTGATAGTATTTCGACACACGACAGTTCCATAGAAATCGAAAAAGGGACACTCTCGCATGAAAGAAACATTCATAGTGTGATGGATAATAGCAATTTGTATAGTTTACTGACATTTACGCAAAAATCACATCTTGGTTATTTTTCGATAACTAACAACAGCGACTTTGATTATGAATTTGTTTTATAAAATTCTAAGCAGTTGCACTACAAAATATAGATTTTATAAAAATTGCTAAAAGAGATCTGCCAAAATTTATTTTCTAGAAGATTTGAAAGTTTGAAACTTGATGGCTAATGTAAATATAAAATTATGTATGTTAAAATATTTGTAATTAGGCACATAGGTCAGATTAAGTTTTTATTAAATAGAGTAACGCATGCAAGGGCTATCTGCCTAAAGAGAGAGATGCCATCGTGGAGGAATTTTGAAAAAAAACTGACCTTTGAGTGGGTATTAAAAATAATACTTATAATTTTCATTCAAATTATATTCATATATATTTTTTATGTAAAACTTTCGGGTGTATGCTAAATTAGTGTAAATTACTTTACACGAAAAATATAGTGAATGCACAGAAATTAAAGATTTGCACATGCCGGAAATGATAAATAGGAAACATGTATGGGTATTTATGCATGTGCTTGCAAAAAGCATGTATCTGCCTTTGACAAAATACTTAAATATTCATTAAATTATTTATATATGTATTTGAAATGAAGAATTTATTCACTTACAAACAACTGTGAAAGTACTGTGAAGAAATCTATGATTAAATATATGTAATTTATAATGATTATAAATGTTATCTAAATATATAATAACCTTAATATTGAATTGTAAACATAAATTGAAATCTTGTTGACAAATACGTTATAAAACTATTTAAGCAAGAATTGTTCGTATTGGAAAGCAATCTGTTAAAAGGTATTGTAAAGCAAATGCTACGAGATGCGCACTTAAGAACGTAATAAAGAGTTTTGGAATATGTATTGTTGAAATGAAGGGTAAAAAAAAAAAAAATCTAAGTATAATTAAAAGAATTATTCCCTTTACATTTTATAATAACTCAGTTACAAGTTTTAAATAATACTAAAAAAAAAAAAAAAAAAAAACTTATTTTATTCCCTTTCAGAAATGTTCAGAGAAAGTCAAATACTATTTAATACCCATTTAATTATTAGGAATTAGCGAAATACTTATTTAAAGTATTTCGCTAATTCCTAATAATTCTCTAATTTAAAATAAACCGAATAGAGCATTAATTATAAATTGACTTACATTTTTCGATTTAAAAGAAGCCAGAAAATCATGTCATATTTAAGAAAGTATTTTAGGAAGAAGCTCTATAAATAGAAAAGAAATAATGCATAATTTTAATATTAATAATACAATAAACTTTGATCTTAATTTTTGTACCTTAACCAAATAAAATTGAATTACCTTAATTTTTTTTCTAATCTAATTAACGAAAACTTGTGAAAATATTTCATTCAAATTAAACCATTCTGAGAAAACTGTCCTGTGAAAAGTATAGCATTTAATTTTCGTTCAGAAGGAAATGTTGTTTAAAAATATGTTGTTTTCACATATTTAGGACTCTGAAGTGTTGTAGAAAAAGAAAATATATACATTTATACATATATTTGCGACGTAATTACAAAATATTTACACCCAAATACGTCAAATCCCATAGAACGCAATGGTAAATGATCCAATGTTTTGGTCACCACATAGGGATCGCCGGTGCTTCAGAGCAGGGTACGGAGAAACTTGTTTAGGGCGACTCCATCTTACTTCCTACCTCCATGTTGTGGAGGTGGGGGTTATAATTTTTTCCTTTGTGGTGACCTAAACTGTAAATTACGCTTCTATATATTTTTCTCTGGTGTGAGGGAATTGCTAATATCAATTTTCTTTTGTTGGCATAGCAGCAGAAAAAAAACAAATTAAGTTAACATACCAAGTAATTTTCTTTGATTTGATCCAGAGTTTTTTTTTTTTTTTTTTTTTAGTTGGGAAAATTTTCTAGAGCTATGGTAGGATCTGCAAAGCGTATTGGGTGCTTGCCTTCCATAGTTTATGTTTAATAGGCATTTCTTACATATAGCCCTGATATATGCTCCATTGGGTTGATATCAGGAGAGTTCCCAGGCCATTCCAATGTCTCAGTTTGGTTCTCAGAAATGAAATGATTTTCTTGACTTTTCGGAAGTATGGTGTGCTCCATCAGGGTATCATTTTTTCACGTACCGTCAATAGGCTGCAAAGAACTAATCCCAAAACATCTTTTGAGTGTGTTCAACAAATTCGTTAACCCTCTGACTGCTGAATTTGTAAACCAAAATCGCTTCTTTTTTTTTTTTTTTTTTTTTTTTTTTTTTTCATATTGTAAATCTATATATATATTGAAGAATTGAAAAATGCATTTTTCCTTTCTAGAAAATACTTTTTATAGATTTTTATCAAGAAAAACCAATTTCAGATGTTATTACAAAAAAAAAATTATTAATAAATTTCAGTCAAATTACAGTTCATTTCTATTTATTGCATAATACAAAAAAGTAAAATATATAAAATTTAGGAAAATATAAAGCACTGAGGGAAAAATATCTTTTATTTCTCTAAAGCTGAAGTGTCCTTTTAAAAGAGTTTTTTCTGATACTTTAAGAGATGGAAGGAATGTGACATTGTACTCTTAAAGTCGTAACAAAAATACACCTTCTCTTTAAATGCCTGTCATATTTGTATTAAGAAAGGAATTTGCATCAATATAAAGTGTAAGATTTCTAGTTTTTAATACACTGATTACTTAGTTGCCATACTCTGGTTGTACTCTAAGACTTCGATTACTTGATTTTCTGTTAGTTAAAATTCTTGACGGAATGGTTGTTAACTAGAAATTCAAAGGTTAAGTGAATATCACAACATGCTATTCAACATTGGCCGATTCTCAAATTTTTAACATTCGTTTTTTTTTCTTTAGTGGTGTGTTCCTTCAGTTTTGGTTTGTTGAAATGATATTTAAATTCGTTCTTTGCTTTTTTCTATAAATGTATGATAAATTTATATCATAATATGCAGTTTCAAACTAACTTTTTAGAATATATTACGTTCAAGGGTTTGATGGTTTTGACTACATCTTATCTTTTATTAAAGTCTAATGAGGTATAACTTTTGTTATAAAAATAAACAATGTCATTTACTGTTCTTAAAAATTGTCAATGAATTATATGATTTGAAATATTTTCACCCCTTATTAATGTTGAATCATAAGTGGGACAGAATGAACACTGGATTATTTTGACTAAAATATTTGGAACATGCTTTATTCGTCTATTTTGTCAGCACATTTTAACTCATCTTGTTGTCCTCTTGGTTTTATTTTAAGCGTAATTTGCATTTAAAATGTCTAAAAAATGGAAACGTCTGCGTGAAAGATGCAACTACAGCTTCAATAGAATTTGAATAACATTGAAAGTTTGTGTACTTTCAATGTTATTCAAATTCTATTAAAGCTGTAGTAATCGAAATAACTGGACATTCTTGTCTCAACACTGAAAATGAATGTGTCCGGTGGAAGGGAACTGGAAGGAAGAGCAAGCAGTTGCCTAAAAGCCGCTTTAAGGAAATTTTATATCCTGTGCCAAGTATCTGCAGATTCAAGCCATATTTTGCTGTAGTGCTATGCACCAATTCTTTCAGCAGATAGTCTTGTACTAGTGAGAAAGAGAAATAGCATTGCAGAGGGTGACTGTTGAGCCCTGGAGGGCTGTATAAATTACAATTTACGTTTTAGAATGTTGTCTCATAAATGGAAAATCCGAAGTATTCCAACGAATAGCCCTATGTGAATAGAAAAACAAAATTAACAAGAAATAACATTGTGAGTGAATGCGACAAGTGACTTATTTTTTTTTCAATGAGTATCTGTCGAAATTTTAAATTGCCACAGAAAGTCATATTATGCAAGTGGAGAATCTTAAGATACTTCAGCTGAGAAATTGTAGAAGATTCCAGGATTTTATCTAGAGAAAGATTCAAATATTAGCTAAAAATATTTTCATTGTTAATGAAACAAAATCTAGTGTTTTTCTTTCATCTCCTCTTTTAAAATGCATAGGTTTTAAAAATGTTCATTATCATGCACAAAATAACTTTACTCTTAACTTAATGAAGACAACTTACTTTTAAAATTATCACAGCAAATTCTTAGCAGGTTTCTCGCCAGGTTTTACAGAATTTGGTTTTAAGGTCTAATTTTTTGTCAGAAGTTCGCATGTTGCAACAGTGATATACGCAAATCTCTATTCTATGTATCCTATGTTCACTTTTGAGACATGAAAAATGCAGGTTTAATTTCGTTTGTCGTTCTTGGGGGGGGAGGAAGGAGATGGTGTGCATTCCAGGTTTTACCACATGTAAATTTTGCTTAAAACAGCTATTGGGAAAAAAATGTTTTCCTTAGAAAAGAGATAACAGTAATTTTATTTTAAAAATTCTGTATAGATGTTTTCTGGCACATGGATGTCTAGAATTCTCTGAGGGCAATGCCATGTGTTGAATTAATCTGTGTGAATGCAAACACCATAATACACTAGTCGTATTAATATTTTCTTGTACATTACTGCAAATGAATTTAACAACCATCTTTAAAATAAAGGAAATCAACTATGTTACATGCATACATGTAAGTATAAATGACAACTAATAAATCGGTGAGAAGGGCATGTCTTCAATCTTCAATCAAATGTATCATCAATCAAAATTAAAATCAATAATAGGCCTGAGAATCTGCTGCAGTTTGATACATTTATGAAGAGCCTATGTGAACTATTTTATTGTTTTACATTGTTGAAAAGAATTTTTAAAAATACCATGCAAGTTAAACTGCTTCATACATATGTATTTTAATTAGAAAATGGATTTAATGTTTGTTAGTTGTTCTGTATCTAGTGAAAAAGTTGTTTTAGGAAAACATTTTTTGTTGTATTAAATGAATTATTTTCTTAAAGGTACAATTCATTATTTATTTCCAAATTTCAGGAAGAATATTATCAATTGCTTGCTGAAAAGATATATAAAATCCAGAAGGAATTAGAGGAGAAACGTCAAAAGCGAAAAGAAATGCAACTGCAGCAAGTACATCAAGTTGCTACTGCTGTTGGCCCAATGCTTAATACTGCTACTGGAACTCCCAGTCCTAGTAAGCATTAGATGGTTTTTCTGCCTTCTTACTGATTCAAGAAAGGTTTATTTTCATGCATTAGAAGTTTTAGGAAGATTTCAGTTTTAGTTCTAATGCATTGTCATAATTTTCAAATTTGTTGTATTTGTCATTTAATGTCTGTTAAATTCTCCATGTGTTTACAGAACTTGCTGGATCTGGTGCAATAGCACAGCCTCATCTGTCTAACCTCAATATCTCAAGTAATCCACAGAGGATGCCTCCGCCGAACATAACTGTGCCCACGAATACAGGGCCTCGAGGTTCTGATCTCTTTTCACCACCTGGGTCTCAGCTGTCAATCTCTTTAAATACCAATCTAAATGTGACTTTAAATCAAGGCCAGTTTAATCAGCCTCAGGCAAGACGTAGTCCATTACCATCTGTTCATTTTAATAACCTGTCTGGCCCTGTAACCACTGTTGCAAATACTTCCATTGATACATCTTCCATTCCTTCCACTGTGAGTGGAATATCTGTTTCCCAGTTCAGTTCATCTTCACAGCAAAGCCATCCCCAGATGACAGATGCTTTCAAAACCAGGCAACTTTCGGTAAGTTTTTTAAATTACATGAATGTGGGGTGGTTGTACTTTACTTCATTTTAGTGTATTCAGTATAACATTTAATCATCTATTGTATATAGTTTTGTGTGAAAATGTTTTGATGTGCAAGTTCTGTAAAAATATGCTTTAGTTTATCGAGAATCTTGAATCGAATTTATATCAAGGTAAACTTCAGTTCATTTACTCATATTTATTACTTGTACCTGGAGAAAATAATGTTTATTTTTGCTGTTATTGTTTTACCTTAATTATCTGTGATTAGTTTTCTTTCATGAAATATCTTCAGAAATGTGTTCTGTCGCTTCCACACGTTTTTTAACCTAATATCTGTTCATATCAATAATAATGCAATTTGTGTGCAGTTTATTGCAATATTTTCAAATGTATATGTGCATTTTGTGGCATTTAGAATGGTTCCATGTGAAATCTTATTCCTTATTAACGAAGAAAATACATATTTTGAGACTACCTGTACCTTAACTGCCAACAGCTACAGGAGTTTATAACCTGTATATTTTTCTAGTCATTCATTATACAGTCAAAAGTCGTTAATTCGAACACCCATAATCCGGACCTCAAAGCTAAAAACTTTCTGCGCATGCGTCCCGTTCACGCATGCGCATAGGCATTAACGTATGCGCATAATACATTTACGCATGCGCGTTTAATGTGTAACAGACAGTATAAGCTAAGCTAAAATTATCTAATTCAGTTAATGTTGCAGATTGCATTGTTCCTTAATCTTCGAATTGGATCTGGCTTATTATTTTTTGCAGACTGTTGGAGCAATTTTATAAAAGTAAGCTTGAACTTTCGATTATGTCAAATAGAATTTCCAATATATATTATCTAATATGTAAAGGATCTACAATGCGAAAGTATGTTTCAAAATCCGAAATCTGTTTATCAATTTCACGCTGCTCTGCGGCGGGAAGGGGGGGCGCAATGAATCGAAAGTTTATCTGTCAGCACTATCCTTATCTTCAGAGCAGATGTTTTTATTTTATTCCGCTTATAATTCCTTACTAAACATAGTATTTCATCTTGATGTACTCCTGTCTTTGATATGATTTAAATCAAATTCCTCCTCATCATAATTCGCTTCCGATAGTAAAGAAAGTGGTTATTGAAAACAAAAAAATTTCTGTTGACAAATTAGTCGGTATTCTCGACACAGCAATTATAGGACTTGAACAGCGGAACTTTGTAGCTAAACAAGAAATTATGTCTGTTTATAGAATTAAAGAGAAAGTATTAACACAAAAAAACGAAACAACTTAAATCTTATTCCTTATTAACGAAGAAAATACATATTTTGAGACTACCTGTACCTTAACTGCCAACAGCTACAGGAGTTTATAACCTGTATATTTTTCTAGTCATTCATTATACAGTCAAAAGTCGTTAATTCGAACACCCATAATCCGGACCTCAAAGCTAAAAACTTTCTGCGCATGCGTCCCGTTCACGCATGCGCATAGGCATTAACGTATGCGCATAATACATTTACGCATGCGCGTTTAATGTGTAACAGACAGTATAAGCTAAGCTAAAATTATCTAATTCAGTTAATGTTGCAGATTGCATTGTTCCTTAATCTTCGAATTGGATCTGGCTTATTATTTTTTGCAGACTGTTGGAGCAATTTTATAAAAGTAAGCTTGAACTTTCGATTATGTCAAATAGAATTTCCGATATATATTATCTAATATGTAAAGGATCTACAATGCGAAAGTATGTTTCAAAATCCGAAATCTGTTTATCAATTTCACGCTGCTCTGCGGCGGGAAGGGGGGGCGCAATGAATCGAAAGTTTATCTGTCAGCACTATCCTTATCTTCAGAGCAGATGTTTTTATTTTATTCCGCTTATAATTCCTTACTAAACATAGTATTTCATCTTGATGTACTCCGTCTTTGATATGATTTAAATCAAATTCCTCCTCATCATAATTCGCTTCCGATAGTAAAGAAAGTGGTTATTGAAAACAAAAAAATTTCTGTTGACAAATTAGTCGGTATTCTCGACACAGCAATTATAGGACTTGAACAGCGGAACTTTGTAGCTAAACAAGAAATTATGTCTGTTTATAGAATTAAAGAGAAAGTATTAACACAAAAAAACGAAACAACTTAAACAACTTACATTGAAAAAAATGTTTAATAAAATAAACAAATAAATATTTAGCTTTTTCTCTTTGTAAAACTTGATACCCTTTAGATCATAATTGCTCTTTATATCATAAATTACGGTTTCACATTTTTAATTTTATAATATCTGCATGCCATCTTACCAAATTTAAACTGATGATCTATAATCCGGAATGATGAAAGGAACTTTATTCAATGATGTACTCCGTCTTTGATATGATTTAAATCAAATTCCTCCTCATCATAATTCGCTTCCGATAGTAAAGAAAGTGGTTATTGAAAACAAAAAAATTTCTGTTGACAAATTAGTCGGTATTCTCGACACAGCAATTATAGGACTTGAACAGCGGAACTTTGTAGCTAAACAAGAAATTATGTCTGTTTATAGAATTAAAGAGAAAGTATTAACACAAAAAAACGAAACAACTTAAACAACTTACATTGAAAGAAATGTTTAATAAAATAAACAAATAAATATTTAGCTTTTTCTCTTTGTAAAACTTGATACCCTTTAGATCATAATTGCTCTTTATATCATAAATTATGGTTTCACATTTTTAATTTTATAATATCTGCATGCCATCTTACCAAATTTAAACTGATGATCTATAATCCGGAATGATGAAAGGAACTTTATTCAATAAGTCCCGACAAGTCCGGATTAACGACTTTTGACTGTATTCAGACAGGCTGTTTAAAATTTTGGGCACTTTCAATCTGTGCCATTATCTTTGTCTTGACAGGTAACTTGGTTGTTTTAAAAAAAGTTGTTCATTTTTTAAATAATTCATTAAAAATTCCTGACATCTAGAACCAGTTGTACTTTTATCCCTGCTAGGTGTCTATCGAAATTTGTCATATGATTATCAAATATTTGAGTATTCAAACACACACACACACACACACACACAAAAATTGTATCATTTTCTTACTTATAAGATATATATGACCTCATAATCACCAGCTTACTTCTCATTTACATCCATTTGCCATTGTATTGCCAGATCATGTGTTTAATTTTACAAAAACCCGTGTGTTTACTATTTATATTGTATAATTTGCAGATGCCACAGCATCAGCAGGCTACAAGATTGGTTGGTCAAGCAAATCAAGGGCAGTTGATTATGACAAATTTAAATGCACAGGTAATTAATTATAAGTGAAATTCTAAATTCTCATCCAACTTTTTAAATGTATCTTAAATTCTTTGTTTATTTTTTAGATCCAGATGATTAATCAGCAGCAACAACAAAATCAATTACAGCAAGTAACATCTCAACAGTCACAGCAAACACAGCCTCATTTGAATCAGATGATGTCTAAATCTCAGTCAGGTCTTTCTCCCCAGATGCCTTCTCATTCTGGAGGATTACAGATTCCTCAATCATCTACACCTCAACCACAATCTCAGCAAACTCCTGTACAGCAGCCACCTAGAGCAGCATCTGTTCCAGGAACTCGTCCCCAAACTCCTTCCACTCCACAGTCCCAGCAAAGTCAAACACAGCCACAGCCTCCACAACTTCAGCAACAGTTGCAAAACCATGCAACAGTTCAACCAGCTCAACAGTCTGTACTTAATGTAGAGGACAGCAGTGAGGAATTCAAGCCTCTTATTTCCCTTTCCCAAGAAAGTGGTGTTTCATCTGTAAACCAAACTGATACACAGTGTACAAACACTCCAGTATCATCTACCTCTGATCAAGGATCAGTTCAAACTGGAGGGAAGGTTTTTGCTTTTGCATCTCAAAAATCAGCAGGAGAAAGTAATTGCAGTGAAAAAATGGAAGTTGATGTTGATGTTAAAAGTGGGTGTGGGAAATCAGAGGCAATGATGGACATGAAACCTAGTACTAAACTTGAACCTAAAAGGGAAATAAAGCAAGAGCCAGCTGAGGATACAGGGTATGCCACAGGTTCATCTACAAAAGAAGAACCAGTGATTGTGAAGGAAGAACCTTCTACACCTCAGTCAGCTGCATGTATTAATGAAACTACTACAGATTCAAAGCCAGACTCCTCTAGTGAATCTTCTCAGCCACCTCCTAAGCTCAGACCTAATAAGAAAAGTGAGGTTTTGCTTTCATTCATTTTAAGTAAAAGCTTAGTATAATTATATGTCTATATGCACACATACCGTTTTGTTCATTTTTTAAATGTAACACTAGGGCCAACAGAAAAATTTTTTTAGATCATAAATCCTTCTAATGTAGAATGCTGCTCAACGATAAATTTTAGTAAATATCTGATGAAAGGAACTTTATTCAATAAGTTATAAAAATTATGTCACTTTTATTGGTTTTAATATATTTATTTAGAGCATACAGATGATGGTATATGTCATAAATTCAGTAAATTTACAAATGCATATTTTGAATTTGGCAGCTTAAAGCACCTAAATAGGAAAAGCTTGAATTTTTTAATTGTGTTAGAATGGTGTAACTGATATTTTGTGCCTTTTAAAAGATGAATTTCTGCTTGTCATGTTGTATTTGATTTCTTTTCACATCTGTAATAAAGTGCTTTTAACTATTTGTGTTTGTGAAATGGTAAAAATTCATTATGCTGCTAATTTTTAACAGCATTCAAACCAGATGAATTGCGTCAAGCATTAATGCCTACGTTAGAGAAGTTATATAAACAGGATCCTGAATCGCTGCCGTTTCGCCAGCCTGTTGATCCACAGCTACTTCAGATTCCGGTAAATATATACTCCTTTCATTGTTATTTATTTATTCGTGCAGTTTTAAAATTGTATTTTATATGCAGTGTGAAAACATGTCACAATCAGAAGTTTTGTGCAGCGTGTGGCCCATAAATATTTATGTACCATATTGACAGTGGCATGCATGCATGATTTTAAGCATAACTTTTATCTAACATCATTTAAAATTTATTGTGCAGTTTTTACTTTGCTCTGGAACTATAATATTTAGTTTTATTTCTATATAATTGAGCTTTTAAATTTCAGTATGAACGCTGAATACTTTTTATGGCTAACTTTCTAAAAACTTGTGTGTCTGTTGTTTTTATTATTTTTTCCCATTTCTATATATTATTATAATTGTAATTTTAAATGTATTGAAGTAAATGTTAAAGGTATCATGTTTTAACTAATGTGTGTGTGTGGACATACAGGCACCCACACTCATGTATTTATATGTGTATATATGTAGTATATATACATATTTTATTATGCACTTATCTTTGCAAATGTAACTGCTGCATTAGCTTTTTATAGGTATATGTAACATTTATTTTTGGTGCATGGTTTCATGTCTTATTTTCTTTCCTTATTGCCACTGATAGTTTGTTAATTGTTACTTTTGGAGAGCTTATAAAACAGCTTTAAATAATTTTCTGCAAGTAGTAGTTTGTCTTGAAAATGTAGCCTGCATTAGTTTTATAGTTTTCTTAACATTTTATTTTGCTTCAAAGTTGGCTTATAAGCTGTCCAAAGAGCTGGGAATTTTTTCCCCATAATTTTCCCCTATAATCTGCATATTGTTTGCTGCTTGAAATAACATTAGTAATATTGCTTTATAATGAATGCATAATAGCAATATCCTTCCATTCACTGTCTGAAATCCTGCTGTAGATTTTTATTCCCCATTTTAACACAACACTTCAATTTTGTAAAAGTAGATAATATATGCTGAACATTTGTAATGCTGATTTAGTTTTAAATGATATGCTTTCATCTTTTGTGTACATGAAGTAATTTACATTTTCATGAGGTCAGTGTATTATTTTTGTCTTAAGAGAAGTTCTGCGCTGGCACTTTAAAGAATAATTTTTAAATTATATATAAAATCTATTAAAACCTTTCTTCAGAGTCAATCCTTGAAAGGTTTTGTATAGAAAATTTTATCTCCCTGAAATAAAGTAAAGTTTATTCTAAATTCTTATCTTGTTGTCCTGTTGATAGCAGGGTATTTGTTGTCTTCTGTTCTTGATCCCAATTAAAAGAAGGCATGGATATAGCTTTGAAAGGAAGGTATAGCTATTTCTGCAGTGCATGTGCACTGTGCTAGAAAGATGTAGAATCCGTGTTTTATAAATCTATATCCAAATTATGGTCTCTCCTCCTCTACTAGACGAAAGGCAACAAAGACGCAACTTCATATATCAAAAGACAAGACACAATGGTACGGATACAGACCTATACTTCATTTTCATGGGAGTATTAGCTTTATTAAGTTATCCAGGTTTTATAAAAATCTTACATTTTTAAGTTAATTTTTTAGTTATTTTCCTTTATTTTTTATTATTTATTTCTATTCAAGTTTGCAAGCATTTCTTTTCACCTCTTTTATTTTCTGATATTTTTCTCTTTCATTACTTATATGCTGTCATTCTGTGTGTAATATATTGTCTTGTTTTTTAAGCACTAATATAAATCCCTGCTTTCCCCTACTGTTTTTTATTGTTATTCATGTTTAATATTTATTTTGAAAGGCTAAAATATTTGCATGCGTTTTAGATCTCATGGTTGAATAATTTTGTGTTTTTAATATAGCCAGTTGCTGTAATGTATGTGTGTATGTGTGTGTGTGGTGCATATATATATATATATATATATATATATATATATTATATATATATATACTTGTGTACATACTCTCATGCGCACACACACGCATATATATCTGTGTGTGTTACACTCTCTCTCATGTGCACACACACCTGATATATATATATATGCATTTGCATGCACACACACATATATTATATATATATATATATATATAAACTTTTAATTTTTAAAAAACCTGCCAACGAGTAAGGGTTTTGCAATTCCTAGAAGATCCTCTTTCCTTCTAAATTTAGTGGTGATTACTGCTGAATTTCATTGATATCACAATTCAGACTGATTGTGGCATGTTTGTTGTTTCTTTTTACTTGTTGATGTGTTCACTAATGCTGTCAAAAGCATTCAGATTTGCATCATAATATCTCATTCCCGCTTTTCTCTCAGCTATTTTTCTAGCAGTTTACTAATGTCTAGTCTATTTTGCATGTATTTCAAGAAATATTGCTTTGTCTTATTTTTAAATTCATTTGCATATCTTATCCTACTGTTCCTACTTGTGAGTAGCAAGAAATAGGCAGCTGTTCAAATTTTGTTTCAGGTTCTGTTCTGTAAACTCTTTTATAGTAACTCTTTGTGTAGTGGGATGTGATTGCAGAAGGGGTGGTTGAAGTTGTGTGTTTCCATTCTAATTCCTTTTTCATAGAACATTGGTTGTTTTTCTTTTAAACAATCCCTGCTTCTTGCATGTTAAGATATAACTTATAAAAGTTTTTGCATTTTTGAATATTAGGGAATGATTTACATTGCATGGTTTTAGATCAGACAACCTTTTCTTACTTTCTTTTTCATCCCTGGTGTGTGTGCGTGTGCGTGTGTGTGTCTAGTCATGTTTTCCTGGCTTTGTAAAAATGTTATTCTAAATTTTATGTGCTGAAATTTTTAATGGTGGTAGTTTTTTTTAGCAGAATAGTATTTTTATTGTTTGTTAAATTTCTGGCTTCAAACTGTATTTTATAATTGAAGTGTATTTATCTGTTTTAACTGGAGGATTTCTTAAACCATATATGGCAGTTTAACCACTTAAAGATAATTTATGCATTCAAGCAAAAAGAAATGAGTTCAGATGCTGTCTTTTTCTGGTAGCTGGAGGTGTCATGATTTGCCCAACTTCAGCTTTCTGTCACTAGCAATATCACTTTTATATATATATCTTATTGTAAATGTCCACTTTTTGCCTTGGTTTTTTAAATGAATATATGCTTTCAAAAATTCTTGAGGGAAATATGAAATAAAGTTAAAAAGATCTCAGTAAAACAATTTCGGGTAATGGTTAAAATTTTATAAGTTTATATGGTAATAAAATATTGAAAATTCAACAATAATTAACAATATAACTGTAAATTAACTGTTGTAGTAACTTGTAATAAACTGTTGATTAACAATAATAAACTGTAAATGAGATATGATTGTAATTTTGCCAAGTTTTAAAGCAATAGAGAAAATGATATATTTTGAATTTTACATAAAATCTATGCAAATTTAATGTTGCTTTTTTACTTTTAAGTATAAAAATTTAATGATTTCTCAGTGTTAAACAGCTAATAACTACTAAGTTATATAATAATTTTTGGAAATCTATCATTATGGAAGCTTGCCAATATGTGCCATTCAAATTGAGACAAAATTGAACCTTAGATGAATTATAATTTTATGAAATATTTCTGTGCACTTTAATAGTTCCATGTCTGTTTTCACAATATGCATAATCAATTTTCTTCTTTCAAATTTTATTAAAAAATCCAGAGATTTAAGCATAAAAATTTTACATTAGTTTAAGGAATGCTTGCATGACCTTTGCCATAGTTACTAATTGTGTGATTGAACTTTCAAAAGAGAAATTGCATTGAAATTATAAAGAACTGTGTTATAAAATAAAATTACTTAAATAAAACTTTAAAACTTTAAATGTTGACTGTCCATTAAATATATCAATGATTAGTTGAAGTAATTACAGGTAATTAGGCATAAAAATACGTACATAAGGCAGAGAATATGTTCGTAATCAGAATTCTTTTTAAATTTCACTTGTTTATGAACTTTTTGCTTCTCTTTAAGGACTGCTTGTCTTTTTCAAGTGTGATGTGTGGTAACACTATAAATCCTGCACACATTGTATTAGAATTGTTTAATTATATTAATTCAACCTATTTTATAAGTACATGCATCAAGCAAAATTTTTATCAGCGGTCCCTTTAAAATCCCCCTTTAAATCCCCCCTTTAAAAACTTTATCTTCCCCCTTTAAAAACCCTCTCTGAAATAAAACCTGCAATGAAATGAGAATTTTTAATCATTAATTCAAGAAAATTCATAAATATATGTTCATAACCCTAATGTAAAAACTATGCAATCACCTTCTTGCTAAATTACGAGGGCTAGCAGTTGATCGAATTGATGATGTGTCGTGTGAAAGCAATGTAAAAAATTTTCTGTTTTTCAAGCGTATATTCTTAAATTATGTACACTGTGCAGAAAAAAAAGGTCAAAATGTCTAAATTGTCCTAAGTTAAAATGTCTGTTATATATATTTTCTGAATGGAACATTGAAGGGCATGTTAATAATAACTATGACAAAAAAATATAAAGAAAACTATTTGAAAAAAAAATAAACGATGCACCTTTTATAAAAATTTAATTTTTTGAATGGTAACAGATTCGCATTTGTGCAGGTTTTGCAATATTCATATTATTTCCCATAATCAAATTGTGTATGAATCCATGTTTCACTGCTAAAACATTATACTGTATTTCATTGCATAGCCTTCTCCATTTTTACTAATTTTTTCATTCAATACAAGGAGGGGAGAATATGTGCATAATTTAATTACCGTAGGATGCGGTGACACTAAGAACATATTATTTCTCTAAATGAAACCCACATTCCAATAAGAGTACATAGTAATACTAACATTGTAATATCTAACAAGATATTGTTATTTCTGCTTCCCTGTAACTTAAATCTTGTGTATTATTATTGTCTGCTAATCTTTAGACCATGAATCATCCATAAATATTTATCAGAGGGTGAACAGGAAGCTTACTCAAGTGAAATCATGAATCTGAATGCCAGTTCAAGGTTCTTCTCTGTCATTGGTCGTTTTTTGTAATAGGCTGGTTTACAATTCGACTATTAGAAGGGAATAGTTTGACTTGACGTTTATAGGCAGTTTGTGAGGATTTGTCTTTGTTCGCAAGATAAAATCAATCACTACATGGACAAGTCAATTTTAAAATTTACAGAAGCTCTTCTCTGTACACATTAAGGAAAGAAAATTATCCGAATATTTTTAAAGTTTTCAGAGTATGGTGCTAATATGCTAGGATGAAAATACGCAAGGAAGTGTGATATTTTTTGTTTAGTAGAAATTTAGGTGATTATTAGCACATGAGAAATTGCATTTGTCCTGAGAGGCATATCTGTAATATGTAATTGATATTTTAGATCACTTATTAACACGAAAGTTATCTGATTATTTAACTGCTGCTACAGAATTGACCTTGATTGAAACAGGTGGTAAAATACTGTGTTTTCTGCTCACATTGCATAAATCTAGCATGTGTTGTGCAGGGCTTCATGGAGAACCGAGATCCTTTTTATCATGTTATGCTCTTTTATTTGATGAAAAGGGGAAATGCAAGACAGACCTTTCATAAATTTTGTGCTGCACATTGAAGAAAATGCTGTATCTGATGACATAATTTAAAGGAGGTCTGAAAAGTTACAACCTGAAAATTTCTGCACTGAGTATGATGCTGGCTCATTTTCTATGACACAAGGACCTAGTGAAAGAAACTGTCAAGACGGAATAAAATTCAATAAAACACAGTATGTGATTGTTAGGAGAAGGTTAGATGTGTAAGCTGCTACAGTGTATGTATACCCCATGCCTTTAAAAGAGTGCAGAATATGCTTGCTCAGGTTTTAACATTTGATTCTTTACTGAAAGTAAATAAGGAAGCTTCTTTTTTTAAGGGGCTGGTCATTTGAGAAGTAGATGTCATACAATAATGTTGCAAGAAAAAGATCAAGGAGTAATAGCTCCCCTTAGTAATATCAATTTGGATGTACCATCCTGAAGGAGTAAGTAGGCCTGTGTAGGAGTAATGCTTTTTTTAGATGCAGGGATACTGGGAGTACAAAAGAGTTGCATGCTGTAATCATTACCATCAAGTTGGGGGATTAATTCAGAAACATACTGTTTCCAAATGTCAATTTTGAAAGCAGAAATCGAAGTGCTCATAGGTGTTGTCTTTCATCATTGCAATATTCAGTCCCTCATTTTGATGAATGTGGGGAAGATGATGAGATGTTTTATCATGTCCTATATCCCCTAGATGTTTCTCACAGATTTTCATTTCTTTGTCATTTAAAAATTAATCTGAATTGTCTGAAATTTAGTTTTTTGAAGATGTTGACAATTCTGTATGAATAAACCCACTGACTTTCTTTCCCAATGATCAAGTTTCCCAGCGTCTTGAAAGATGGCCAAAAGTCATAGAATAAGATGGGTCTTATGCTATTCAATTAAAGTTCCGTATTTTTTATACTACTTCATTTGCCAAAAATACCTAGACCTTTCAAATTCATTTGACATTGTATTTTCTTCAGTGACCATGCAGCACACTATTCCAGGTGTTAGCTCATGTAGGTGTAATCACCTCTAAAAAATCTTTCTGAGTGAGGTTGCTAATTATCTAGAGCAAATAACTTTAAAGTTTTAATGTTTCATATATATATATATATATATTTAAATAACTTGCAGCTAATCAGGATATCTGCTATTTCATGTGATGAATTAAAGCTGTCAGTTGGCAGGCAATATAATTTATCTAAAAGTGGTATTGTGACATTTTGCTGAAGGTTTGTACTGTTAGTATGGTTCCTTTTCCATTTCTATTATATATATATATCATGCATATCCAGATTTTGATTTACAAAGCATTTACATTTTTATTCCAGAGCAACCTCACTTTAGTGGAGTGTATTCAAGTTAATTTTTGGATTTCCATTGAAGGAAATCTAGAAGGTAATTGCCTTGCTTGACTGAATCTGTCAGAGCCATGAGTATAAGTCCCGAAAATTGTGCATGCAAAGCAAGCAAGGAGTTATAAGAAATCATGAAATATAGAGGCAAAATTTAATTCCATTATTCCATTCCATATATGACAGTTTGGATCAGTGATTAAATACTATATTAGATATTTTCCAAAAATGATAGCTTGAGGAATGAATATTATGTTTAGAATATAGCTTTCTAATTATTCTTAATTTCATTTAATTTCTTGTTAAAGACACTAATTCATCTTCAGTGACTAGATTATGTTCAGAATATAGCTTTCTGATTATTCTTAATTTCACTTAACTTCTTGTTAAAGACACAAATTCATCTTCATTGAGATGCGAGATACTTATTTTTACAGTGACTGATTTAAGTTTTTCTAGTTTTATTGTGGTTTAAAAGTTTAGTATAAAATATATTTCCATTTCTATAAATTGCATTCTTTTTTGTCTTTTAGTCAGTGTCATAAATAGATGGTTCCCTTCAAGGAACTTTGTATTTTAATTCACTTAAGGCCTGTGTAGGAAACAAATGAGGGAAGATAATTACAAAATATTTTAAACAGTTCATTATTTTGCAAAAAAGGTATTTTAAAATTGTGTTTTTGTATAGAGCAAAATGGTTTAAGCGAGGAATTTTTTATTCTTGAAACTTATTTTTTATGTTTAATTTTGCCAATTTGATCTTATATCCTTTAAAGATGTTATTATCTCATACTTGCATTTTCACAAACTTCATGAAATAACACTTTTAATTCTTTATGCAAATTTACTGTGTTGTTCCTTTCTCTGAAATAGATTTTTTGTCATATATTTTGTGTATTAGTCTGTTAGTGATATGCTTAGATTTTTCTTTAAACCCTGTAGGATTACTTTGACATAATAAAGAGACCAATGGATTTATCAACAATAAAACGCAAATTAGATACAGGACAGTATCAAGATCCTTGGCAGTATGTTGATGATGTGTGGCTAATGTTTGATAATGCTTGGTTGTATAACAGGAAGACTTCAAGAGTCTACAGGCATTGTTCAAAGGTAAATATTGATACTTTTCGAAACCCTTTAGCATCTTTTTTCCCCCTCTCTCCTTTTTTGTTATTTTTATTACATTTATATTTTATTATATATTGTATATTAACTTTTGTTTTTATTAGCTTGCTGAAGTTTTTGAACAAGAGATAGATCCAGTTATGCAGTCGCTCGGATACTGTTGTGGTCGGAAGTACGTCTTCCAACCTCAAGTTCTGTGCTGCTATGGTAAACAGCTGTGCACTATACCTAGAGATGCCAAATACTGGAGTTACCAAAATAGGTATAAATTTTTATATGAGCTCCGTGTAGTTTGTAATGGTCTAAATTTATGTGTATTGTACTCAAATTAAAATTCATTTTAGGTACACTTACTGTCAGAAATGTTTCTCTGAAATTCCTGGGGATACTGTTACTCTTGGTGATGACCCTACTCAGCCGCCAACGTAAGTTAACTGTTCAGTAAAAAGTGATTTATGCTGGCAGGAGTTTGTGTTAATCTATGATATGGTTACCATATGTGAACGCTTTATATGTTAGAAAAGTGTTCTATTACATGGATTTTATATGAGTTTATTTAGTTTGTGAAAGTGGTATGTTTGGTTTCATATTGTGATACTTTCTTGTTCACTTTTCAGTATCAAAGTTTTTGTATTCTTTAATAACATAATTGCCTGTCGTAGATAAGTAATATTGTATAAATTTGTCTCTCACCTAAGTGTTTATTAAATTTGTTGTTTGAATCTTGTAATTGTTTGTAAATTTGGCATAAAATAGGCAGTGTGATTTTTTTCCCCCAATAGCAATATAAAGAAAGAGCAATTTGTGGAAATGAAGAATGATCATTTAGAACAAGAGCCGTAAGTACACATCATGTTTCTTCACATGTACACATTGTGTATCTTTTACAGACAAAACATTGTCTGTAAAATATTTGGTATATGTTGGAGGCTGATATATAGTATTTTAAATATTAAGAATTCAAACTATGGTAGTGTTTCTTTTAAGAATCGCTTATCGTGTTTTAAAAATACCATATTAATACACGTGTTTCCAAAGCTTCTTTTCTGAGGTCTGAAAATTTAGTATGAAGTAAATTGAACTATGTAATTATGTAAAAAGTTTCTTCAGTATGAAATGTATATTAAATTCCGTTTCTACATTTTGCTGCGATGGCCATATTTTTTTATTTATTTTATGGCCATGATTGTGGCCCCCCATCTAGAATAGTGTGGAAGATAAATACGAAGTTCTTTATAAAATAATGCATTATGATTTCATCTCTTGACGTTTATTTTAAGTAATTTCTCCTTATTGTCCTGTGTGATTCTATTGTTTCTTATAGACGTGATTCAGTGTCCCAGAACAAATACTATTCCTAGTAAGGTACTAAATTTATTCACTTTTTGAATTGCTTAGTAACCATCAAAGCAAACTCTGAGAGGGGATACATTTGAATCGAAATGTTGCCCATGCAGTCTCTTTCAATTACGGTGAGAATTTGAAAAATTCTACTTCATACCTGGTGTGTTGATACTTGTACTTAGTACTTGGTCAGCAGGTCCGGTGTTTTTGTGCAATTTTTTTTGCAGAATTATCATTATAACTCACGATAGCATGCTGAAGTCGTAATTTTTCGGAAAGGAATTCTTTGCTTTATCACGATTCCTTAGTAAGCTTAGACAGAAATCATCATTTAACATGTTTTGAAGCTGTGGGAAACTTTGGTTTCACAGCAACTTAAATTCTGGTTCAAAATCTCTAACCAATGTTTTTTCAGTGCTGAGTAGTTGAGGCAGAAATATTTCACTTTCATCATTAAATTTTCATTTGAATAATGCATAAAGTAATGAGGGACCCATCAGGTGCAAAGTATCTTTTTTAAAACTATCTTGTAAAAATTGGTATGGATTTTGAAAATTTTTCATATATTGTTCAGCAGTCCCCCCCCTAACACACCCATGCGTGTCACACACTCTTTCTTGATGCTTTTACTTTCCTGGCCTACTTGACAACATATGCATCTGTTCATCCTGCACAAAAGTGGGTAACCCATTGAAAGACTACACTAGAGTGAACCACAGTATTGACTTATTTTAAAGTATAATCTTTGATTTCCTGCTTCATTTCAACTTCATTTCAAATACTTGTCATTTCTAGGTATTGTACAGTAAGACTCGAGTGGAATTTAATTTAACCTCTTCCACTGCAAGTATAAAAATTGTATACAGTTAAGGATTACTAAGAACTAGTGCAGGACATCCAAAGTGCATCTTTAAAAATTGATTGGAAAATCTCTGGCAGTCCCATCAAGTCTGCAACCTCACTGCTGCAGTCTCAGACTGGTTTAAACCAAAAGATATAATTTATGGATACTACATAACAGACGAAATGGAAATACATATATTACGTACAAACAGCAAAACTCATCATTCTTCAACTAATTTGTAACATTAATAAACTAGTACATCTATAATTGTATTAGACATCCTTTTTGTGTAATCTGCATTTAGTAGTCTCTTGTGATCATTAATTGATATTAGCGCTGAAAAATTAGCTTCTATATGCACTCCAGAATAACTTGGATAACATTAGCATCTGACATTTAGTTTATAGTTAGGAATCCAAAGGTTGGTTGCACCTATGACGTGAACAAGCGTAATATTTTACATTACATCATGCATAATAATTCTTAAAATACCAGTGATTATAATAAAAGCTCAGTACGTATACATTACCAAAATATATCATTGGGAGGAAATTATGACTAACATATAGGTGTGAATCTCACTTCACGACTTATCATCCCATCTGTTCTGCCATTACCATATAAGCTCGCATAATGTCCACACTTTTTTACTAAAATGTGAGTGCGGACATTACACAGGTTGTTTAAATGTTGCGCTTTTTCTTGTGAGTAATTTTGGGTGTAAATTTCATTTCAAACAGCCCAGTTCTAGTTGCATAAGTAATAAAGGTATCGCATTTAAAGATGTCTAATAGCTACCTAAAATTTAAAAACTCGCTTTCACCCAAGTACACATGTAATATAAATTACCTCGTTTGTATTATCATGTTATCAACACTCAGTGTGTGTTAGTTTACAGAGGAGCATGATATAGAGGCACAAATTAACCAACACTTGCAGTTTTAATATATAGATATTAAAATGAATAGGCATTGGTTCTTTTAATATCTTGCACACATTTTTTTTTTTTTTTTAAATCTGCTCTGATGCACTGTATGAAAATGCATTTCTTTCATCATTCGGCACAACCAGCCTTCACTAACCTTTTAAATTACGATGTACGAATGTCTTCCTTTTGTCCCGCAGCAAGAGCTCTTATTTCGCAGATTTTCTGTATTACTGCATACCCTTGAGTAAGCATATCACAAACATACGCGACTGCTTTTTTTCTACATTCGAAAACTCTCATTTCAAACTACGAAACGCACATCTTGTTTTGTTTGTTGCTGCCAGTTGATCATGCTGTTAGCTCCAATTGTGCACACACTTTTCATTCACTTTATATATTCAGGCTGCTGCTCTTTTTTATTTTCTTGCGCAAATTCTTTCAGCTTAAAAGCCACTGTGTAGCTGCTATATTTTCCCATTTCAAGCATACTACTTGCTAACTACTACGAATTCCATATGCTACTATGAGTGAAAAGAGAAAGCTTGAAGTATGCGAATGCACCAGAAAGGAAGTAGGGGAAAGTAATTTCATTACAAAACGGTATTTCCTGGAATCCAGTGTCTTGAAAAACCTGTTTGAACTGCCTTCATTTATTATTGCATCTACCGAGTTAATTGCTGCAGCCGATGTTATGATTCAATAATAGAATGCAAGGAAAGTCTCAGCTTTTCATCCTAGCTCCAACCAATGACAAAACAAATGTATATTCTTCCTTTAAAGATGTTTATTCATTAAAGGGAAAAAGTGATGTTAAAAAAGTATATTATAAAGTACGAAATTCTTCAGTTTTTGTGGAGCAGACATAGTGCAGGTCACTTTTTATACATAAATTTTATCTGTGAAGTTAGGTGTGGACATTACACAAGTGTACATGATAATTTGTTACGCTGAAAAATACTCAAGGCATGCACCTAATAATTGTTGTAAAATACTATGTGAATAAAAAATTTGTACGTGTGTGCCAACACGTACTTCATGCCAAAATCTAATAAAAATATTGTACTTAAAAAAGAACGTTCATATATTTGGCATTTGCTAAACACTCCTTATAATAAGTAAAATTTTAATTTTCAATTCATGATCACTGGTTTGAGACTGATATTTAATATGAGTGGAAGAACAGATGAGCATGAATGTATCAAATTTCCAGGCCTAACGATGTTAATTTTCTGAAGTTCTTAGGCCTTCGTTGATGATTGATGACACCTTTTTGAGACTGTTATTTAGTGAACAGATGAGCGTGAATGTACTAAAAATTTCAAGACCAAACTATGTCGCTTTGCCAAAAACCTTCAAGCGAAGATAAAAAACATCTTTTGGGACTGCTGTTCAATGAGTGTAAACGTGCAAAATTCATGTCTCATCAAAATTTTCTCGATCATTTGTTTTTTCATGTTGGATCAGCTGATTTTAGATTTAATTTTATACTGTGTCCTGGCTTGTCCGCCATGCACTTGGAGCAAAAGTAGAATGTTCTGTGAAGCTTAAATGGCGTAATATGTTGTAAACATTACCATTTTTGCATGTGAAAAGACACTTTCAGCATTTCTGGGTCTTTAGGAAAACCCGTCAAATCATATGAAACATTTCTTAAGGTCTAAAATAGCACAAAAATAAATTATGTGAGAAGTATGTAGCTCATACAAAAAACGAATAACGTGCAATGTAGTTTCACCTTCCAGTTGTAATGGAGATTTTAGATGATTTTTAAACTAGCACATTGAAGATTCATGGGCATGTTGCAGATCTTTTTGTATTTTATTTGATGTGCATTCATTAGGTAGTTCTAAACTATCTGTGCCTGCCTCATCCAGTATTATCGTGTTTAAGCTGCCTTAAGTAAGACATTGCCTGTTAAAACTTATCTTTTTTTTAATGTGTGTGTGTGCGCATACTGTTCTTTGCTTCCAGTTAAAGCATTCTGCCAGTACTGTCTTTATATCTGCTCATTTTTTATAATACTAACGTTATATTTTCGCAGTCATGTTTTTATCTCTGAATACAATTTCTTTTTTTTTTTCCCCTACTTCATAAGATCAAAAATTCTTTGGAGGTTTATAAAAGTGAAATAACCTAAATTGTGCAGTTGCAGTAGAAGGGATATTTTATTTTATATTTCTGGAGGTGTAAACTAATTTCTAAACTAACTGGACTGCCATATGTGTTTAGCTTAAAGTTGATTGCAATGATAAATTAAAACTTGTATGCCAAGATAAGTACTTCTTTTTAAACTTTTTATTTTTTAAACCTTTCTGAAACTGGTAAATTATTTAAAGTGTTAAACTGTAAACTAATCTTTTTAGACTGCATATTTGTTTTTCTAACATGTGTTTTGATAGATTATAATTTACATATTAATTTCAAACATTATGATGAATTGGTGAGCAATATTATAACAAATATCATATTTGTTACAGGTTTGTTGAATGCAGCGATTGTGGTAGAAAGCTTCACCAAGTGTGTGCTCTTCATTTTGAAACTATTTGGCCAGAAGGGTATGTTGTTCATTTCGCGTACTTAAGTAGTTTTTTTTTTTTTTTTTCCTATGTTTTCATATTGAAGCGCCAGAGTCTATCATTATAATCTTTGACTTTGTATAATTCTGTTTATCTGGAAATAAAGCCCAAAACAGCAGAGTTTGTCATCAATTGAAATATTAAAATAGTTGCCTTTTTGAGATTTGAATTTGGTATATTTTGCAGATTCACCTGTGAAAACTGTTTAAAGAGTAAAGGCAAAAAAAGAAAAGAAAACAAGTTTACTGCTAAAAGTAAGCCTGCATTTTGCTAAGCAATATATTTACTTTCATTATATTATGGTAGTATATTTATTTTCATTATAGTTAAGAAACTTTGTCTAGACTATAATCTGCTACAATTCTTTTAGCATTTAACTACACTAAGTATGTCTGATAGGAATTGAATTTTCGCAGTTGATACAGTTACATATTAACTGTGTATATATTTACAAGAAGCAGATGATGGTGTTTCCTATTTAGTAAATTTCTAAAGGTATGTATAAATAATTTAGAAAATAAGTTTTGTTCTCTGTGATGGTGAGTCCTAAGCAAATTGCTTGTGTTCCAGCTATCAGAAAATTCACTTTCACATAAAGATGAAGAAATTTGCTTCTCTCTATATATACTTCAGGGTTTTGTACTGTGGACTAAGTTTTAGAAATTCTTGACATGCAATGTGACTGGTTCATTAATTTCAGAGAGTTCGGTTATTTAGTGAGTTCATATCCACCATTTTGATTGCTCTGATGTTTATGGGCCTCGTAAAATTCCCTTGAGAATTTATGGATTAACATGGAATGTGATCCATTACCTATTTACCAAGGACAGCTGGTGAAAAGCATGTCATGCACAGCTGTTAGTAGACAAATATGTGGGAACTTTCACATCCAGCATTTTCACCAGTGGCCATTTTATTTAAGACTTTAACTACTATGTTCGAATTCATGCATCCAGCAAAAACCATGGGTGCGGCTGCCAGTATAGCCAATTGAGGTAAATGCTTGCTTAGTGAAGGCTTTGGCTGTTTACTTTTGTCTCATGGATGTTTGGAAATTATTTCTCTCATGTATGTCCAATGAGGAAAAGAATGAACAGAAAAGAATGAATGACCTCGTGTGAAAGAGCAGTTAGCAGTCAAAGGGTTATTATGACCACTATAGTAGGAAGCAAAATATAGGCAACTGAATATTGAGGAAAGTTACATTCAAAATATGTGGACTTGAAGTATAACTAAAATAATATTGCAGGCAATTCCATTCCTAGATTAAAACCCTATTTCTGCCAGTGATTACCTGATTGAAGGAATCAGTGATTTTGTTTCAAGATCAACATATAATTATGCTAAAGAAAATTAATTTACAGCGTTCATCAGATGTGTACATCCTTAAGGGTAGGCCCACGCTGCTATGACTATGGAGACACTTGTTTCAGTTCCCTTGTAGAGTGTGCAGTTGATTTCCTCTCTTTCAAAACTTAAAAATAGTCCTTGCATTGTTTTGAAATTTACTATTATAATACTGCATTCCTGTATTTGTCTTTTTAATTTACCAGTGTTATTTTCATTTGTTTTCTTTCAACATATAAGATGAATTTTTTTTAATGAAAATGCCTTTAAATGTGATATTTAAAGCCTAGTTCCTAAAAGTTCCTTTTCTTTTCTAATTTTAGGATTACAGCAGTCAAAACTTGGACAATACATTGAAAATCGTGTGAACAGTTTTTTGAAGAAAAAGGACTGTGGTGCTGGTGAGGTTACTATTCGTGTGGTATCAAGTTCTGAAAAGTTTGTTGAAGTGAAACCTGGTATGAGAGCTAGGTACGTGACCTTTTCATCTGAGTTATATTAGCACTTACATGTTGTGAAATATAGGTATTGCAAGATTGCAGTCAGTTAGGGGATCTTTTTCATTATTCTATTAGGGCCCACCAGTGGCTGAGCAGTTAAGTGAGTGAACGCTGGTGGTTCAGTCAGAGGTTTAAATCCCATGAAAGAGTTGTCTGCATGTGCATTTGAGTGTTTTTCCCCCATGTTTAACATGTATACAAGCAAATTTTTCTTACAAAATCTTCCACAAAGGCCTTGTTCCCTTTAGTCAGATAGCCTAACCCTTATTCTATAATGTGCTAAACAGCTTTCATTGAAAATTTATGTGCCCCATGTTACCATTAACCATTTAATTAAATGTGTTTTTAACCATATTATTATTTTCTTCAGAATAAGTATTGGCAATAAAAAGTTATTCCAGTTTGTATTTCTGTTTCAGTCTTAATTAACTGAAAAAACTATCCTGAGATACTTTGCGCATTTCGAAAAATTCTGTGAAAATGTGCTTAGACAAAAGTATATTTTCTCATGCAAATTATATCAGATTGGTGCATGTATCTTTCTAGAGAAAGCTGCTTGCTGTGTGAAGGATTCCAATTTTCTTCCAATGATAAGAAAATTTTCTTATATAGCTTTTCTCCGTGTTATCGTAACGTTAATTTCTGGAGTTTTTGTTATCGGTATATGCATAAATTCATTTAAAATATCATTTTTAGCTGTATTAGTTTATTGAGTGGCTGCACTGTAGATAAGTCACTTGTAGTAGTACATCAGATTTACTTTGACAAAGCAGTTGCTTGCCTAAAAATAAGTGTGAAGTATGTTGGGTAAGTTTTGTGACTCATGTTAACAAAGTGGAAGTCGGTGTCTAGCTAAAATGGTTACATCTTTTTAGCTAGATTCTGTTGGTTATTGCCATAGTCAGTTGCCAGATCATGCGATTTTTCGCAGATTTGCGACTTTTGGCAAATTTGTGCTATTAAAATTTTAGTATTTGCAAATTTTTGAAATTTTTGCGACATCCATCATTTTTTTATGCTACTTTTTGCGACTTCAAAGGGTTTTTTTAATACATAGTACAATGCTTTTATGTTAAAATAATGTATCAATTTAAAATAACTTATATATAAAAACTTAAACGAAATTAGCATCTGACAATCTTGTTTACATGTGGGCTTTTCTTTTCAAGGCTGCACAGGCTGACGCCAGTGTAACGATGAGGACGTAGGAGAAAAGATAGAAAGTGGCAAAGAAAGAAAAAATATTGCCTCAGGACCTCTCACCTCCTTCCTCGTCCGCTGTGCATTTTGTTTTTGACTCCCCCTAGTTCCATAGTTTTGACTCCCCCCTAGTTCCATGGTGAAAACGAATCAAACTGAAGAACTTCAACATCTGCATAATAATTGCTACTGCAATGTATGTTATGCTATCTAATGTTCGAAAAATAATCTACTTGCTATTCTGGAATAAGGTCTTGCGCAGGTGCCCGCAACCATGAACTATGTCACGAAGACAAAAGAACTTGCACCATATATTAAACACCCTAACAGACTAAATTTATTCTTTAACACTCAAACAGAGAAAGAAATGAAATTTATTATCTTGATTATAATATTGCTAAGAACTAAGCAATGGAAATGTCTTAAAAATCAAAGCAACATCATTTTTCTAAATAGCAATGCAAATAAATTTAATAGTGAAAGAACAAGACTTTCATAAGTAATTACAATCTGACTAAAAAGCATTCCTCAATTAAATTGTTCAAAATTAAGGGAAAAAAGAATTTAAAAAATTTAGTACAAAAGCGCTAACAGTCTAAACTTGAGGAATTTCTTAAGAATAGATATGCACAAATTAATTTTAAAATATAAACCTAAATTAATTAAAAAACAAAAGGATATTTAAACAATTGAAAGTGAGCAATATAGTTTTAAAATTTTCATTAAAGCTAAGGCACATAATTAGGCTAAAAATCGAATATAGTAACATATGGAACCAATAAGCAGTAAATTTGTGATGACATCACAAAAATCACGTGATTTCAGATGTCTTTTGCGACTTTTTGAGTCCTCTTCTGCGACTTTAGTTCAAAAATTTCAGGCAACACTGGTCATAGTATTTAATTCCTCGTCGATAGATGAAGTTTTATTACTATAACAATGTAATGGCCTTCCATAATAGATTAATAAGATGCTTTTAAAGTTCTGAGTATTTTAATCACCTTGGCTAATAGTGTAATTCTGTAGTTTGCTTTGCAGTAAATCATTTTTCAAAAGTGTAATCTTGTGTAAAATGTTAAACACACTTAAAGTAGTATTTTTTCCCTGGTTCATAACCACAGTACAATTTACTTTTTACATTGTAGGTATGTGGACAGTGGAGAATGGCCCGAACAGTTTCCTTATAGAGCAAAAGCTTTGTTTGCTTTTGAAGAAATTGATGGCGTTGATACTTGCTTTTTTGGCATGCATGTCCAGGAATATGGTTCTGAATGCGCTCTTCCTAATACACGGTAATTTTAAGATTTACATTATGTGTGTGTATAACTTTGCTTTTTTGTGGAATATTTTTTATGAATATACATATGCTGTTGATTTTAGTTCAATGAATATTAACAAAATTTATTTTAATTCTTCTATAGGCGTGTATATATAGCATATCTAGACAGTGTTCACTTTTTTCGGCCAAAGCAATTTAGAACTGCTGTGTACCATGAAATACTTCTTGGCTATCTTGATTATGCAAAACAGTTGGGGTATGTGTAAAATTGTTGCTATATCTTATTTATAATAATATTTCAGTAACCTGTATCTCCCTTTCTACAAGTGTCAAAATCAGTTTTTGTGCTGTTGCTGCCCAGAAAGTGCCTATATGCATTTATTGATTGCCAATTTTATTAACATTCTAATTTTTGACCAATAGTAAGTCGTGCACAGATTTACTTAATCCCGAATTACTAACCCCATCAGACATTACTAGATGAAACAACTACTACTCATGATAAGGTTTTAAATAACCTTTTTTATTATTTAAACAGAAATCTAGAACATAAACATACACTCTTGCACTAACAATATCTGTGTCAACTTGTGGTAATGCTAGTAAATAAAAATCAATTACCTGGAGCAGTAGTCGGAATTTACACAATATAATTTTCACATTAAGCTGGCTGAATAATTCTACCTTAAGCATGAAAATCAAGGTGTTGGCAATGATAAAATGCAAAGCCAAATTGTTAGAACTATCAGAGGTGGTAGGAAGTAAACCTTAGCTTCCACGTGTTGGCCAGAAGCATGATGTGTCTTAAAATCCCCAAAATCGGGTGCCCGAGTCAGACCACTATCCCACTGTAGCAGTTTACTCTATTTTACGAACGTTGAGCATAACATGGGAATGGTAGAAGTAGTAATGAAGCTCGAATGACTGTAAGGAGTTAGCAGAGGTGATAGGCATAACTTTTTGAGGACAATTGAGTAAGGTCAAAAATGAACAAGCCAGTTCAATATAAGATTTTGGGAGTAGAGCAGGTTAGATGTGTCGCCATCTGGTGAGAGCATTAGGAACCTCAGTATGAAGACGCATCAAGACTTAATTTTCGTTTTCTGCAAATTCAAGAGTTATCTTCACTGCTTTGAAGGCTATGGCTAGTTTTCGAATGTTTTAATTCTTTAGGCAATACTATTTATTCATCTCTCGAATAAAATTAAATACTTTGGGATCTTGAAAAGATTTGGAAAATGTCTTCTGCTTCTTTATGTGGGATCTTTTGCTGGTTAAAGACGGTGTTGAATGGAATGTTTCTTTGAATTTATTTGAATTTCTGCTTCAGTTTTAGGTTTTAAAGCTGGGAAATCTTTTTTAGGTGGGTAACTGCTGAATTTTTTCTCTTATTTTGTTGGCTTGAATTCTCTTTTTGTATACTGGTCATCCACGATAAGAACTTACATGTTCACCTCAGCAAAAATAACAGGCTTTTCTTCAGGTTTTAGAGGCACATATTTGAACGATGGTCATAGAGTTGCCACGCTACCTGGAAAACCGGAAAAAGTCAGGGAAAAAGTCAGGGAATTTAAGTGTTTTATTCAAAATCTGGAAAAGTCGGGGAATTTCTACACGATCCCGCCAAAAAAGACGAGTTGCGCCGACGTCGGAAGAGTCACTTTTTGGCGAACTGTATCACGTGAGTGTCATTCGGGCAGCTGGCATAAAGCCAATTTTTTGCAGCTCCATTTGATTGCCTTTTTAGAAGGCAAAGCAAGTTTCCCCCACTTTTGGTTTGCAGAACCTCGAGAATCGCATGTGCAGTGCATGAACTAAAGAAAGTACCTTTCTTCTCGTATAAAAAAAATGGTTAATCCTAGTATTACGGTACCATGAGGTTAGAATCAAAAATATGTAAGGTGATGAAGTCTGGCATTAGGAATGGAGACAAATAAATAAGCAGAAATTCATCTGGATTAACATATATTAAAATACAAAAACATTATATGCACAGTAAATGTTACATGGTAAGGTAAACAACAACTGAAAACGTTGCCAAAAACAAGAAAATAAAAATCGTGTTGCCACACATATTGCAAAATACAAATGGGAAATATAATCACAAATTAAATGTTATTTGCAACACTCTCCCTTGATTAAATTTCCCTCAGTCCTACACTGAACCTTTGATTGAATAAGGCTTTCTTTTGCACAATCTTTGTCAATATGTCTGCTGCATCTGAACTAGAAGGCACATAGGTAAAGTTCAACACATTTTCTTCAACCTTCTCTTATCAAGAAAAAATGCCTGAGTTAATATGTTTGTTACGCTCTGAAGTGACATAGATTTTAGCTAAAGAAATGGCACCCTGATTATCAACAAATAAGTTTTGTGGAAAATGTAAAAAATTTTCTCCAACAATTTCCTTAAAAAAAATTTGGAACCACAGTACTTCCTTGGTTGTGTGGCTCATTGAGAGGTTACTCAGCTTCAACTGTTGACAATGCAGTCGTGTTGTTCTTACTGCTCCATGAGAGACAGCTCCACCTGCTAGTAGCACCACATAGCCACTAAATGATCGTCTGTCAATCTTATCACCAGCCCAATCAGAATCACAAAACACTTCCAAATTCTTTCCTGTCTTTTGGAAAGTCAGCTTAATTCCTTGGTTGTTTTAGGTACGAAGGATTGTGTTGTACACCAGCCCAATGTTCCCCCCTGGGCAATTATTGAATTGGCTCATGAAGTAGTAGCAAAAGCTAAATCTGGCCTTGTTCCTCCTGCTAGGTAACAGAGCCCTCCAACAGCCTGCCTATATTTTAATGCTCCTTCAGTATTCAACATGTTATCCTTAGTGGCTGTTACATATTTCATACCTGGATCTAATGGTGTTGATGCTCCTTTAGCGTCTTGTGTATTACTTGTTTCCTAGAGTTCACTAGCATAGACATTTTGGTCAAGAGTCACACAGCCTTCTGGTCCTTTCTGCTTATCCTAATTGAAAGAAGGTGATGATACTTCTCCCAGGTTTTTAATTTTAAATATGGCTGCAATATTGTCCTTAAATTCCTGAATGATAAAATCTTTGCTAGATATTACAAGGAGATCATCCACATATACACCTACAATTAAATCCTTTTCTTTATTGAAGTAAACGCAGGGATCTGCTCTGGATCTTGTTAGGTTCGCTGATTTCAGAAATTTATTGAGGCAGATATTCCACTCTCTTCCAGACTGATGAAGTCCATAAAAGGCTTCTCTTTAGCAAGCAAACGTCTCTATGTGTTTTCTCATGCAGACTCACTGCTGGCTGTTCCATGAAAATTGTCTCACTCAATTTTCCATTTAAATAGGCTGCAAGTAATATCCAAGTTGATGAACCTTGCCTAGTCTTGCTCAACTGAGAATGCTAATAAAGTTCTAATTGATTTTGTTTTTATTATACAGGAGAAAACGTCCTCTTCTGTAGTCAATTCCTTCGACTTGGGTGTAGCCACGAGCAACTAAACGAGCTTTATATCTTTCCAATTGTCCATCTTTGTTAAGTTTTCTATTGAAGACCCACTTACATTTCACAACTTTTCCTTTCCCTCTGGCCTAGGTACTATGTCCCAAGTTTCATTTCGTTTTAAATTTTCCAAACTCTTCTTTCATGGCTAACTTCCATTTTTCTGCATCTGGACTAGTTAATGCTTCTTCTAAAGTTTCAGGATCATTCTGGAAAGCTTTCTTGGGTGTTGAGCCTTCATATTTCTGTTTCCCGGATTGTCAGCTACACTGCATTCCACTTGTAATTCCATTTATTTCTGGAGAATTTTCTTCATAAATCTCTGAATTTTCCATGATATAATCCTTTGTTTACTTAGGCGCTGTAATTTGTCTTCTGGGTCGAGTCTTCTTTTCTGGTATATCCTCCACCTCCTTCTTTTCCTGTTGAGGGCCTTCGTCTATTACTTTATTTTCAACTTCATCATCTTGAGATGAATTTCTTTCAGAAACTTGTTGTGGGTGCAATGTTATAATGTTTCCAGTCATGGAAGGTTTCTCTTCAAATATGACATCTCGGGAACAGATTACTGTACTGGTTTCTTTGATGTAAATGCAGTACCTTTCATCTCCATCATACCCGGAGATAGCCTTTAGTTGCCCTTTTGTCCATCTTTCTCCTCTTCTGAACTGGGATATGAGTATAGCAAGTCATCCAATGATGCGCATGTGTTTTATTCTGGGTTTCTTCCCATCCATAATTCATAAGGGCTTGAATTAGGAACTGAAAACTTGCCTGTCCTATTCAAGTATATAAACTGAAGTACTGATGAACTCTGCCCATAGGAAAGCTGGAAAGTCCTCCATGAAGGCATTCCTCATCATTAGGAGTATTTGAGAAGTTTTGGCCATTTCTAGGACTGTTTGTTCTCTTATTCAGCACTGCCATTTTGTTCTGGTGTATATGGAGCTGTGAGCTCTGGGAGATTCCATGCTTGTTCAAGATCTTTTGCGAACGGCTTGGTTGTCAAATTCTCCACCATTGTCACTGAGGATTTCTTTAACTTTATGCCCTAAGTTCTTAGCATGAGCTATGAAATTTTCAAGCACATCTTTTACTTCTGATTTGTGCTTTAAGAAAAAACAGTATTGAAATTTGGTGTAGGCATCTTTGAAGATTGCAAAGTAATGGTATTTCCTAAATGATTGATCAAATGGCCCACAAATGTCTGTCAAGAACAATTCTCCAGCTTTTGTAGCCTCTTTCCTGGTTCCAAACTTTAAACGGTGAGCTTTTCCATATACACAAGCTTCACATAAATTCAAATCAGACTTAATCTTAATATTCAACTCTTTCTCAACAATGGCCTTTACCTGCTTTTTATCTTGGTGACCCCAACGTTCATGATAAAGTTGGAAAGTTGATTCATTGTTCTCAGTCATGTTTAAGTCAGTGTGAGTTTCAGGAACTAAGGTCTTCATCACGGCTTTGAAAGACCCCACCAGCATTTCTTGTTCCATGCAGAACTATTTCACCATCTATTTTTATTCTGGCCCGATTATCTCCACTTCGCTCATAAATTCCCGCACAGTTCATCATCTGGTACCCATAACCTGATGAAGTCAAACGTTAGGAATGGAGACATAAATAAGCAGGATCATCTAATTAACATATATTGAAACACAAATGGTGGAAGTACGACATGGTAAAGTAAAACATTGACAACAACTAAAAAAATTGCAAGAGAAAAATATAAAAAGGTGTTGCACACTTTGTAAAATGCTGG